CTGCTATCACCTGTCCTGCTGGCTCCAGTGTGAGTGTTGTATTTATAGATGGCTAGACCTGCTAGACTGCATGGCACTGAATGTGTGGGTAGAGGTGCCTGCCCTGCTCCACCAAACACAGGTGGAGAGGGGAGACTGGGAAATCACTATCTCACTCAGCAGAGCCACACACACAGTCAGCCAGTCCCGTCACTGAGGTCGTACCGCAGTAGTGTATGTGTAGATGTGTGTGGGCATTATCTTGGAGACAATAGCCCATGAGAGCAGGGCTTTGTTCAAAATGGTGTTGTGTATGACTGGCAGTCACAGACAGAGCTAGGCTAAGGGGCTTCAGGTAGAAACCACAGAGAAATAACTTTCTCACGGTCTTAGGTCTTCACTGGAGATAACAAAGTCTATACACACAACACACTGTCTTCTATGGGCTCTCTTCTCTACTGGGCAGGGCTAGTTGGGATTTGTCACCACCTTAACATAATCTCTAAAGTAGTCTTGTCTGCATGTTTATGTGATAAAATATAGCTATTTATGTTTTGTATCGCTATTTGATTTGGTTTGAATAAATTCCAAAAGGCATTTTTTAAATGTCAAATCCCTTTTCTGGAGTCTTTCAAAAATTCCATCCCCACGATTCCATTAATCCCTAATGAGTCTGGCGCATAACACGCTCCCTATTTCATAAAAAGAAAATCAATTTACATTTTCAAACTGCTATTTGATGAGACATTTCTCCTGTTCCCTTTGATTCTCATCCACAACCACTCATGTTCCAAAGGTCATGTTCAGTAAATGAAAAGCTACACAGGAAGTTCATTAAATTAGTTCTAAATTCAAAATTCCACCACCAGTGTGTTGTTCTTTCCCCTCAGTAAGTAAATATCAGCGGAGTTCATTAGTGGTCATAACTAAGTGGATTAGAGAGTGTGAAGGAATAAACGCAGGCTCTTATTAGTTCTGTGTTGGATTAATCAAGGAGAAAATGGCTGTATTATACTGTATATTACATGATGTTTAATTAGCAGGCTAGTTGGAGGGCAATTTGTAATTAGAACATAGCCTCATTAGGAAAGGTCAAAAGCCGTTGGTTGCCATGGCGCAGAGTTGGCCTGTCTACTACGGAAAGTGTCCGGCGCCATTGGCACGCTTCCTGAATATTGAGCTGTTATTGGCTTTGATACTGAGCCATGTTCTGGGGCAAACTCTCCATCGCTCTCTGCTTTGCACACACATTAGTTCTAAAGACATTATATGGTGTCTACAGTTGCCATATAATCTGATGTTCTTTTTCATGGCCTTTCTAAATAAAAAAGCATATTCAAACAAGGGAAAATAGTTAAAAATTCTTCAATTATGTCCTGAGGATGGGAACTACATCAGAATGCCAACCTGACAATCTAAACATTGCCTTTTCTCTGTTCTCTGACCCAGAATGCAAAGGTGGAGGATGTGACGGTCTTGACGTTAACATGGATGGACATTGTGACAGGGGACAGAGGGATGTGATTGACATGACACACCCCGAGTCCCTCACACACAGAGAAATATCACAAACACGACACAAACTCTCTCACTCACACACGCGCATAAACACAAACACACACTGGAGCCTACTAATCTGCCTCTAGACATTCCCAATAACAAAGCTGCACTCTAACACAAGCTGACTCTCCAACTCCCTGGGAAGCCAGTCCATTTTTCCTGTTATGACTTACTATATCTTTCATTATTTTCCAGACAACAACAATAACCCTTGAATCAGGTTACGACATGGGAAGGGAGAACAGCAGAGGATCTCTGACTTTATTAACCTGTCTATTTCCATGAGGGAAGCAGTGACACAGAACCAACCAGCAGAGACACACACTGCTCAGAAACCCACAGATGAGGAGAGAGGAGAAACAATGATGATTGCCTCAGAACAGGAGGAAGGAATGAGGAAGACTGGAGGAAGGGAAATGAAATAAAAGGCCTTATGTGACGGGACAAGTGCAGGCGCTTCACAGCCGTGAGATTGTCATCACTGCTTTGCAAATATACCAGCGTTCCAAGAGGAAGTGTGTGAGCGAGAAGCCCTGATCGTAACACTACAGATGGTAGGCTAACTCAAGCATAGTTCTGCACAATCTGAAAACCTCAATTCGGTTTCAAAGCATTGTGCAGTCAGTCACTAGACTGTACTTTCTCTATTTTCTCCCATTACTGTTAAATATTCATTACTGTTAACCCAGTAGACTGCATACAGTACTTCAGCAACACGGAGACGTTAACAGATGAAGATGGGGAAGAGCAGCTGAACACTAAAGTTCTCCAAGTATCTTCTGCCTCTGTCTGCCTGACAAAGACGGTGTTCCAAATGGCACCCTTTTCCACTATATAGTGCACTACTTTTGTCCAAAAGAAGTGCACCATGTAGCAAATAAGGTTCCATTTAGGACACAGACATCTAAAACATACTGATTGGCGAGATTGTGGCAAAAAAATGGTTTCATGCTATGAAGACAAGAAAAAGTCAGATTGATAGCCACTCTCAAAACCTAGTAGGCATACAACATAAACCTAAGACAAGACAAATGGGTCTCTATGAAAACTCTGAATCAATATCAACCACAACAGTCTTCGTAATGAAATTAACAGCAGTCTGAAAAACAAACTCACAGACAAAATGATAGCCTGAGATTATTGCTTGGTCAATTTATGAATATTCATATAGCCTATCAGATATAAATATAGCCCTAGAGACGCGGCCGGCAGAGGACAACCAAGGACATGTATTGGAACCGGACACCATCTCTGGCAGGGATATATAGAGGGAGACCGGGGATCCTCACGTCAATACAGCTGTGACCTTGTCATCACATTCTACTCATGCAGCCAGGCCTAACCATTAAAAAAAACACGTACTGAACGGAGCAGCTCATGTAAAGATTTAAAGCCCCTAGCGTTTGATATAGTATCTCTAGATATCAAACAAGCAAACTTGGCTTGCATTTTACAATATTTTCTTTGATGTTTCTCAATTGCCAACGTTGAAGTAAATTGATTTAATGGTGGCCTACAAGACAGAATGTGCACTCTCCACTAATAGGGCAAGAGCACAGTAGACTACAGCCCCTGTAGCTCTGAACAGAAATAAAGCCAATTCCATTTCATCCATGGCTGACTGAAAGAAAATGTGTGCTGTGCGCCCTCGTGTGGCCACTAAATACCTCTACATTCTGAGGTTCTGTTTACTGTTGCTAGGCAACGGGAGGAATAAAGAACACTTTTTGCGATTGATAGCTAGTTTGTATTTCGTGGGCTGGCTTGTTACAAAGTTGCACACTAGGTAGCGTCTTTCGTGTTTTGTCTGGATTGCATCCGAATTTACACGAACCAGGACGGCAGCGGCTAAGCAACCAAAAGAAAAGGATCCTGTGGATATTGTTCATCAGAACGCAATTCACGTCGAGACCATAAAGAGAATAGGAGCCAACAATTGTACACGCTATTTAGCATAAATCCGTACAAAAGATTTAAGCACATTCCACCGCTGTATAAAGGTTTGTGTATTTATGTGAACGATGAGGAATTACATGATGAACTACTGTAATTGATTTTGTCCCATCTCTCCTACTGTGTCACAACCTGGTCATAAACTAGCATTCCAGAAATTAAGCCACTTCAAAAGCTTTAGCTATATACAAACTCTGAAAGAGCTGGACAAAAAAATTAAAATACAACCTCCTAAATTGACAGCTTCTTATGCCTTGCCGACACCTCTCTGCTGTACTCGGTTTGTTACATATTGCAAGGACAATACCTTCAACCAGAGGGGACTGCTCAACTCAGTTTAGGTCCACCAAATTTGGCGCCGAAAGCTTTTTCATGGAACACCCTGCCAACCAGTGGCCTCTTCGCTGGATATAAATTGAGAAATACTAAATGGAAACAAGGCTATGAATATTGCTTTACTGTCCCAAGCAAACAATAACTGGTTGCAGACAGACCTACTGTATAAGGTCACAATAAACACCATAACTTCACACAGGAGAGAAATATTGAAGAAGCACAAATCATTTATCAAAAAGAAACCGATACAGGAGCAGGTATAGCCTGGTCCCAGGTCTGTTTGTGCCCTTGCCATCTCCATTGTGGTCATTGTCAAGCCAGACATGACAATGAGTGACAAGGAGTTTGTATAATAGCACAGACTGGCACTCAGGCTAAACCAGGGGTTATTCTTGCCCCAAAACTGTTTTTAGAAGAAACATTTACCCAGATCTATAGAAAGTAACACATTGGCCCATCACATATTCATAATATTGATAGATGGAAAAGGCCAAACATAACAGCTGTTCAATATTACAAAATGTCATGTCACTAGGGGTAGTGAATCAGAGGGTCAATGAGCAGACTTGCAAAGTGTGCATTTAGCAAAAATCTATAAGTATTAACAAAAACTAAATGACAGTATACATTTATTGAAGTGGCTTGATCATTGATCACTGTCAGCAAATAGTTTCACAAATGTTAACATATAAAGATTTATTTTTAAAAGAAACAGATTTATTTTACTGACAGTAATAAAATAAAAACAAAATGTAATTGTCTTTTGATGTCCAAATTCGTGTTTGGGGTTTTAAACCACCCCTCCTCTGCAGAGGGAGTGTAGCAGGGCAGTTATTGAATTTGGCGTGTATAGTACAGTACTGCTCAGTCAGGTTGTCCACATCTAGCCTCCTCCACGATATTCTAGGAAACATCATTCTGAGGGCAGGATGCAAGTGGACATCTTGGGTCATAGTGACACAAAGTCCTTCATATCAGTCCACTGGCCCAAGGGCTCCATGAAGGGTGGTGTGTGATTAAGTATAGAAAGAGTGCACTTCTCTTTAATATATGCGCTTCCAGAAGTTGGGATGCAATGTGGGTAACCCAAGACTGATGACGAGGTGCAAACCTGGCCTGATGTCATAGACCAACGGACCAATCAGACTACAGGACCTTCAGCACCCAACTCTTTAGGAGCGACCCTTCATCTTCTTGCGTGCATTCTTGCCCGGTCGTTTCTGAAGAATCATAAAACATTTTAGAAAAGGAGCAAAATGGCGAAAGAACTACGATTTTTCAAATAATATAATTGAAAGAAAATGAATGTACCAAAAACACTAACAATCAATTATTTTTCTTTTAATTCAAAATGTGATCATGGATGTCTGTCAGTCACTTACAGTCCCTCCTTTGGCGGGGCCCCTTCCTCCTTTTCCTCCAGGTCCCGCTTTACCTCCTTTCCCTCCCTTTCCTCCTTTCCCATGAGCCACCTTAGCGCGGAACCCTGACACATCGTTGTGACTGTCCTTCGTGTTCCACTTGGTTCCACTCTTCTTTCCGCCAAAGCCAAACCTCTGGTCCTTATACTTCCTCTTAGCATTGGGGCTGTCAATTCAGAGGTTTCAGTTGGAGTCGAGGTACAGTAGACACACATTTGTTATAAAAGCACTGAATACTAGGAGTATAGGTAGGTAGTGGAAAATAAGCATTGTGCACAACATTCACATCTGTGTGTGGCGTCTTACCCCTTTTTGTTCATGGCCTTTTTATCAGGTGTTTGGCCTCCTGCTCCTTTCCCTGCTCCTCCTTTAGCTGGAGCTCCTCCTTTAGCTGTTTTCTGATCTCCTTCCAGGAAGTCCAGTTTGTCAGTCATGCCTACGAGAGAGGAGGGTGTTAATCATGAATCCGATCTGGCAGATGTTGTCACCCAGAGCAACTTACCAACTAAACGTGTGAACAAGTTGGGTCGTAACCACAACACGTAGAACTGAGGACCCACCTTTTTGATACTTCTTCACGGCAGACATCATGGCCTTTTTCTCCTTCTGTCTCTTCTGAATAACCTCCACTTGCACCTACAAGACAGATTTCATATGACCACATGCACCAAGACGACATAAAAAGATATGCCAGTGAGACCACTGCTGCCCTATAAGGAAAAAGAGACGGGAGGAGACTACCTTCTTGCCGTACTTCCTCTGTTCTCTTAGTTTCTTAGCCTTTTCGGACTTCTCCATCATTGTCTGCTTCATGATGAGTTTCTTCCTGATCTATAGGAAAAGACAAAAGGATCGCATTATTCATGACCACACCAGTGTTTCAGTGCCAGTCAAATGCCAGAATTTGATGGACAAATGTGAGATTTACCGGCCATATCAAATAGAAATCCATTTCAATGCCACCACGTGTAGGGTCATGTTTTATTAGGAGTGCCTATTGGCCATTTATTGCCACCACACCACTATGGAAGTGATTGCAATAATAATTTAAAGAATGACAGCATACCAAGGGTACGTTGGCTCCTTGCACGTCTCCCTCTGTCCATCTGGCTTGTCAATATCTGCTGATTCAGCATCACATTTATTTTTCCCAGTTGTCTGTGCCTTTATCCTTGGTAAAGTAGCTAGTTAGCTTACTAGCTAGCTTGATTTGCATTTCTTATTTTTCATTAGCCAACTACTCCACCAGGCATTAGATTAGTGGAAGAGGAGAAACGCTAAATTACTTCATCTAAATACTCCTTCTTGGTGGACTTGTATGGCACTTCTCCCCTGTATGCATTCAGTTGTGTCAGTCACAGTCTCACTGGTGCAGGAAACTTTGCAGGCCAGTACCATGATACAATGTTGCTAGTTGGCAAGCGAGAGCGCAAGACAGACTGCAGATTAGAGATTATGCGATAACAAGACAACCTGAACCAACCTCCATGCATAGCCAATGTGATTTAAAGAGGATATTTATTTTGTCAGGATGCTTTGTCAAATAATGTTTTTATTCGCTTTTATGCATTTAAAAATAAAAGCTGCCAATTACCGCTTATGGAAAAGTAGAACATCTCTTTTTTTTAAACTGTTTTGGTGTCCGTGATCAATCCATACCTGATGCAATTAAGTCATACATATGGCAAGCTATCTCTGGGAGTAAGGCCAGGTCAGGGCATCCTACCTTCTGCATTTGCTGGTCTGACTTGGCCATCTCTGCAAAGTAGTCCTCAGGTCTCTTGGTGGCTATCTTAAGCTTCTGTAGCCGGGGCATCGCCTCCAGAACAGCTGCTTGGGCTTGGCGGTAGCTGGACGACATCAATGTAAGAGAGGATGTGTTACAATTGCCATAGCTTGGACAGCATAATATTACACCAAAAGTCACTCTTCACTATGATATGAATGGACACTTAGGATTCAACACCCATGTAACAGGGAAATACACTCACAAGAACATCTCTCTCTGGAAGTCGTCATCCGGGTTGAGGTCTCCGCTAGCCTTGTTGTCAAGTCTGCCCTCAGACTTGGCAACGATGTCATCAGCTGGGAGATTGACCATGTCCAGCCTCTCTACCCAGGGTAATGTGTTCTTACGGAAGTCGGCAAGGCACTGTTTCAAACCCTCCTGTACACAACCATGAAGAAAATACGTATTAGAAAAGCCACTTGTGATTCACAACAGTTTAATAAAACATGAATTATAGAGAGAGAGCGCGACACATACTAGGCAGGGCAAACCCGATTTGGTGACTTCTGGTATATCATCAAAATAAATCAACCGCTGCACGTTTTTGGACTCATTCAGCAGTGTTTACCAGATTAAGTACAATACCATTGGAAATTAATGTTGAAAGTTTAAATTTATATTCCTAAATCTTAAATTGAAAATGCTGTTGCTGCTTCCCATTGACAAGACATTTTGATAAATAGCCCATGTTAAAATGTGTCCAAATCAATAACCAATATGCAAAAACTGTTTGTGAAATTGAAAACATAAAATGTACCGCCTACATATACACCAGTAATAATCATGTTACTTCTCTTTTTTTAAACGAGCACCTTAAACTGCACATGCACCAAAAACCCTGTTGTTTTGACAAGTGGCAATAAATCACTGATATCGATTTGGGGGGGGGGGGGGGGGGGGGGGGAATGAGGTTGTAGGCGCTGTTGAACAAACGCAACAAAAAGACTACATGGAAACTGGAGATATTTTTGACCTCACTGGTTAGAGGACAACCTGCCAAGGACAGTCGGCTACATTTTGAAGTGTTGGATTTTGATATGGGGTCGCCAAAACAGAAAGGGATACACTTCTCAATTACTCATACCGATATCACCTTGAAATTAATTGAGCGGGGGGGGGGGGGGGGGGGGGGGGGGATCAGGTTGCACGTCCTGTTAAAACTAGCACAGCTCAAAAACCACATGGAATCTGGGAATAATTTCTATATCACTGGTAGAGGACAACTTGCAGAAGACAGCCAGCTACATTTTGAAGTGTTGCATTTTGATTGAAGTGGGTCGCCAAAGCGGTAAGTGTAACACTTTTTTGTCAATCACTCCAGGGTTTCCGTTAGCCGGTAATTCATTTTTTTTTATAATAAGCGCTAAATAATAACTGCCGCCGGCCAATTGTCAGGGAGAAGAAGAAAAAAATCCCATTGCAAAATAATGCTTTTTAGCCTATTCATTGACAGAAACACCAGTCGATTAGGGGTGTAACGGTACACGTAGTGGTACCGAACCGTTCGGTACGGGGACCTCGGTACGCACTGTAAACTAGGCCTATATAGGCTATGCCTACGCTGCCTGGAGTAAATCTGAGCTGGGAAAATAATGTCTGGCTATTCTGTTAAAACAACTGGAGCCCATGCACACGCTGTAATCAAAATTAAAATCTTAAATTGTCTAATTTCAAACTGTCCTTTTGTGAGACACAGCCAGGAACTAGTTCTTTATTATGGCGAGTGGTGGGATCGATACACAAGAACTGAAAGACGCTCCAATGTTTAAATCTCCAGTTTGGGAACATTTTGGCTTCCCAGAAGATTACAACGGCGAATGCTGCCATCTATCCACGGTTCTTGGTTTGGGTAGGTTTTAATAGTCACAGTGCGAACATAATCCCCTATACACTTCCTGATGAACCCAGTCACCGTGTCCGTGTATACGTCAATGTTATTCTCAGGAGGCAACCCAGAACATATCCCAGTCCGCATGATCAAAACAATCTTGAATTATGGATTGCAATTGGTCAGATCAGCATTGAATAGACTTTAGTGCGGGTACTTCCTGTTTGAGTATCTGCCTATAGGAAGGGAGGAGCAGAATGGAGTCATGATCAGATTTGCCAAAGGGAGGGCGGGGGAGGGCCTTGTAGCCAACCCGGAAGGGAGAGTAACAATGGTTGAGAGTTTTTTAGGTGAGAGTACTACAGGCAATGTGTTGATAGAACTTCGGTAGCGGTTTCCTCAAATTTGCTTTGTTCAAATTACCAGCTAGAAAAAAGGCGGCCTCAGGATGTGGTTTCCAGTTTGAACAAAGTCCAGTGTAGTTCCTTGAGGGCCGTCGTGGTATCGGCTTGAGGGGGAATTTACACGGCTGTGACTACAATGAAGAGAAATCTCTTGGGAGGTAATACGGTCGGCATTTGAAACCCCACCTCTTTAAGGAATACCTGGGATAGGATAAAGTAATCCTTCTACCCCCCCTTACCCCACCCCCCAAAAAAATTAAATTATCCCACTGGCTATAAGGTGAATGCACCAATTTGTAAGTCGCTCTGGATAAGAGCGTCTGCTAAATGACGTAAATGTAAATGTGAGGTATTCCAGGTTGGGTGAAGAAAAGGACTTGAGTTTCTGTATGTTATCACAACCACACCATGAGTAGTTAAATCATGAAACATACACTGCCTTTCTCCTTCCCGGAGAGGCCCAACATAACAATCCGGTCACAACAGACAATGCAAGGAACATTGTGAATGCTGAACGGCATTTAATTTTCCGCTGTACTGAAACGTGAACCCAAAACCGCGATATGTACCAAACCGTGGGTTTGGTGAACCATTACACCTTACAGTTGATTTTAATACATTTGACCGGTCATGCTTATTGGTCTATAGGTTAATTTGCATAATTTAGTGGAATTAAATTGGCGCGTGTGTATTTGTGTTAGTTGTTTTGTTTGTTCATCACACGCGCACAGCATACAGATACAGAGCCTATGAGTGGAAAATCTGTCCAACAGCGCAAGTGCTGCTGCTACAGCTTCTCAAACAGCTCATTCGTTGCTACTGGAGTGAAACATGCTTTTATAAGCCCAATCATTGCGTAACAATTCTAAACGTAATCGCGTGTAAAAACAGTTGATGGCCACGATTCAAAATAACTATGATTTTTGTTCTCAATATTAGTAATCCAAGCTAGTTGTTGCATCTTTAGAGCTCCCTGCTTTAAAAAAAAAATCTAAACTGATATATATATTTTTAATCTCTGTCACATGAAACCGCTTGCATGTGCGGTGTGCTTTTGACAAAGATGTTCTCCTGCTTATTGCATTATGGAACGAACATTCGCACATAACCTACTGCCTTGTGCGCATTGCTGCGCTTATAATGTGAAGAAATAATAGTTTATCAACATTTTAAGGTAAATGTTCTGATCTGTTGCATCAGCCTCATCGGTTTAAAAAAAAGTATAATGTAGCCTAGGCCTACATGGGATCTATCGTTCCATAACTGTACCAGAGTTTGGTTGGAATAGCCTATTTTTTCTCGCACAGAACGACAAGTTGACCAATAGAATACGTAAACTTTTCTACTATGGGGGATATTAGATTGACATAGGCTAGTGATTTTGCTGTTCATTACTCATCTTGTTGGCTGAGGAAAAGTAAATGTGGCAGTTATTCTAACATCTTCAAAGTGCGCATCGGAATTTGGTAAGAAGCAGTGCTTTACTTGGACTGAAATAGGTGACAGTACTCATTTTGGGTGCAGGAGCTCCTTTTGAGAGAATATTCTATAAGAGGTACAGGAGCTCAAGCGATAGAACACAAGGTGCTGGGCCCAGATTCACAAAATAATTGTATTCTTAAGAAGGTTAACTGCAATGGTTCCCTTAACTATAGACTCAAGAAGAAAGTTAAGCAAAGTTGCTATTCCTCAAAAAGTTTATTGGAATTGTTCTTGCGCTATTTCTTATGTTTCTCCTTAAGCAAAAAGTTAAGAAGAAATTAGATTTTTGAAAATAAAGTTCTTGGAAATGTTCTTCATTCCAAGATAGCTAAACCCTTGTCTTAAACTGAGGGCAGTGAGAGAAAAATCTAATGAAAGCAATTGAACATGTTTAATTCACTCAAACTTCTTCTGAAAGTTTCAGTATTGATTATTTTAAACCCAATAACATGTTTTAGAACAGTAATCTCAGTAAGAAATAGGCTTACATGATTGCCATTGCTAGCTAGACAGCTAGCTAAAACGGTTTCCTAGCAACAAACATCTTAACAAGATTTGTAATTAGATATTTGAGAAGAAGTTATTAAATCATTAAATCTTAAGATATTGTTGAAGAATTGCACTTACGAACGAACTTTTTATTTTCTTCTTAAGACGCTTCTTAAGTTTTTGCATAAGAAGTGTTTTGTTAATCTGGGCCCTTTTTTACTTAAGAAAAAACTTTCCTGCACACATTTCAGGTCACCTCCACATTGCCATTGCTGCACGATACGGGCAAACAATCTAGGCCTTATTTTTAACCAAATGTTGCAATTGCGATTTGACTTGCAATTTAGAGAAGAACACTTGGGTGAACTGTTGGAATCATGGAAATATAATTATTATTCTAATTCTATAGTTAGTTGTTTAACATGACAATGAACGAAAATGCCCGGAGGAGTTATTGTGGAGTGTTAAGTGTTTCTTAGGGGACCCTATAATCTTTTGACTACATTGAATGTTCTCTTAGCTACTTCATGTAGCTAACATTCATGCTTTGCGTATTCCGCTTTGATTTAGAAGATACTGTTGCACAAACAACATGCTGATTTAGGTCTACACCATCACTGGTATTATCAGGCTGTATAGTTAGTTCCGTTTGCTCTTACTCTGTACATTTATTAGCTAGTTAACATGATTTAGGCCCAACTTACTAAGAAAAGAAACTAGCCATTTGCAGATATAGGAAACACAAACTAATAGTGTAATTATTGAACCCTAGTGGATTTATATTAAGAAGCAAAGTGAAAACAGCATCGTTGTCATCAACATTGTTGCATGTGCTGCATTGACCACGCAGATGGAAGGCAAGGGTCTCCTGGTCTAGGAACAACAAATGCTCCTTGAGTGACAAGGGGCGGGGCTAGGTTTGTGTGGAAAGCAGCATGAGAGAGAGCGGAGTAAACTATAAAAAAGATAGATGTTACACACTGCATATCACATTTAACAAACCAAAAATTCAAATTCCGTTATAGAAGGTAATGTAAAAACCCAAACCGGTCTGTGCATCAATACCGGTATATCGTAAAATATAACAAGGGCGAAACGTTTGGGTTGAACGTGCTTTTTAAACGTACATTATACAAAAGGCACACAGAAACTTGTAATAATCTATATATGGTTGATCAGATGAGAATTTGTAGAATGCTTCCATCTATATTTTGGAATGGCGGATGTTGATTACGGAAGGCTACCATCACAGAAAAGGGAACAAACCACTTTTCTGTTAGTTAACTTCAACTATCACAACTCTCCATAGGATATCAACATTGACAATGGTTGGCTTCTATTAAAGTGATACAGTTGACTGTCAAATCCGTGTATTGGTGTGTGGCCAGCGACTTCTATAGAGACCACCCCGAATTATTAGTGCCATTTCATAAAGAAAATGATAGCTGCATTCTAAATCCTCCAACCCCCAGCCCGTATGACAAAAATCAACAATACAAAACCAAAGACATTGATTATTTACATTTCACATTTTAGTAATTTAGCAGACGCTCTTATCCAGAGCGACTTACAGTTAGTGAGTGCATACATTGATCTGTTTTAAGCAATTGATCGTGTGTCATGTTGACTATAAACTTTTATACTAACATCACCAATCGAAGGTAAAAATAAACTAAAGGGATGTGTAATTCCCCCCAATTCGAAGTTGTCAAACCATCAGTGTGTGTAATGTAGTAACACATACTGTCCACATCATGGAGTATCGTTATATTAATTAGATAGTAAATAATTAAATATCTTCATTTAGGATGATAGTAAATGAAGCAAACTCAGACTTTCCAATAATCATATTTCTCACTAGTTTAACCATTTAGAGATAAAAATAAATAAAAATGTTCCTAAACAATTTAACCAGGCTGAAAGATTGACGTCCTATATATATACACACTATACAGTCATTGGAAACAATGGTGGCTTGCGCATGTCAACACTCACCACATTGTTGACAATCTTCTTCGGTTCTTGTGTTGTAAAGTTCAATCCAGGCTTTAACAACCCCTTTGCAAATGCATCTTGAAGCTAATGGAGAAAGAAACACAGCAAAGTAAAGCTTTTTAGAACCTAGCTATAAGTAAAGTTAGCAGAGACATTGCTAACTAACTACTATTTAATTTAGCTAATGTTAGCTAGCTACCAAGCACCACGCTATAGAATAACCAGTTACCTCTCCGTCAGATAATTCGCTGTTATCCTCCTCAGACGTCTCACCTAACTGCTCGTCATCTTCGTTAATATCCATGGTATTGTTAACGACAATCATTGGATACAAACAGTTATTTGGTGTAAAATCCGTGCTCACATGGAGCGGTTCACGTGGGAAGGAAGTGGCGGCTGTAAACGGTCTTCCGGTGAAACACTCACCCCGAAGAAATCAAAGGTTCCTACCCGACGTTTCTTTTTGCAGTATTTACAGTTTTCCTGGATTATAACTCGTGGGGTAAAAAAGACCAGAGTCGCGACAATAAAACATTTCCTCATGAATAACATATTGAATTTATATTTATATAGGTGTATGGTTTAATTATTTATATTCATTGTTTATTATGTAAATATGCATCGTATGAATGCTTTTCCATAGTGATAGAATGTAATGATAACATTCTATTCATATAAAATTCCATGCCTCGGCAAAAATATCATGTTAATCTCTGGATGTCTCAGTGATTTAAAAATAAATCATAAATAAGGAGTTGTGGGGAATCAACACATTTGTATTTATTTTTTGTTTTCAATAAAGGTAAGTAGCTTAGTAAAATAAGAATCATTACTTTTCAAAGTTGAATATATGGTTCCAGGTAAGGCTATAAAAATGTGCCTATTGTAGATCAGGAGTTGTAAATGTAAATTTACAGGTCCAATAGTGCAATTTCAGATCAATGTGAAAAGGATCAATATGGTCTTAAATAATTTAATTAGTGTCCTTAAGAGCTTTGCTTGCCACATCCTAAAGATCAAAAACCTTCTTTCCTTTCACTGGCAGATTTGAGTCTGCAGCTTTGATTTGACAGGACTCTGATGTCTGCAGTGGTGGCCCAGTGCCACTACAGCTTTGGTTTGCGGAGGGGCGTGGCCAATAACCTGTTATACTTTGATGAGCAGACTGTCATCTTCCCATCCGGGAACAACTGTGTTCGTTATAACATCGATCAGAAATGGCAGAGGTTCATCCCAGGTATCTGCATGCTAACATCTCAGGAGTACAACAATATGGCTAGGGTCAAGGTGTTTTATAGTTGTTTAGTGTCTCTGACACTACATCACTCTCTCTGAAATCTATTCATAGACAAATATAAACCTGGCATTAAAAACAAAATTAGCTGTTAACAACCTGTTAAAGATATCCATCTTCCAGTTATGTTCTCTTTGTGATTCATCTTTGATTTTGCTCCTTAGGTTTGGAGAGAAGTCAGGGAATGTATGCCCTGGCTATCAGCTCAAACCGCCGCTACCTGGCGGTGTCGGAGCGGGGAGAGAGGGCCACCATTACAGTGTACAACCTGCAGCACGAGCAGAGCCGGAAGAGGAAGGTGCTGAATGGAGGGGACATCCATGTCCAGGAGTTTGTCTCAATGGCCTTCTCCACCGACTCCAAGTACTTAATCGGCCAGTCAGGGACGCCAGACTACACCCTCTTCTACTGGATGTGGGAGAAGCAGAAGGTCATGGCCATGGTGAAGACCACTGTGGCCGCTAATCCAGTCAACCAGGTGAGGTCGGACTGCTCTCTTGTTAGTGGGGCCAGGGAAGAGTCCTTGGCAAGGAAATGGTGGTGTGGAATGATCAGAATAGCAGTATTATTTTTCCATAGATAAAGCAGTGTTTCCCAAAGTCGGTCCTGGGCCCCCCCTGGGTGCACTTTTTGTTTTTTCCCCTAGCACTACACAGCTGATTCAAATAACCAACTCATCATCAAGCTTTGATTATTTGAATCAGCTGTGTAGTGCTAGGGGAAAAACCAAAACGTGCACCCAGGGGGAGCCCCAGAACCGACTTTGGGAAACCCTGAAAGGCATTAAATCGCATTCCTGGTCCTTGCTCCTTACTCTGTTGTAGTATCAACTCTGTAGCTGATCACACACATACTTATTTACTTACAAAGGCTATATTATGATGGCACTGTCTCACACTCTACACGCTTAGAAATAGAGGTGCTATCTAGAACCTAAAACGGTTCTTCGGCTGTCTCCATAGGATAACCCTTTTTGGATCCAGGTGGAACCCTTTTGATTCCAGGTAGAACCCGTTTGGGTTCCATGTAAAAACCCTTTCCAAAGAGGGTTCTACATGGAACCCAAAATAGTTATCTTATGGGGGCAGCCGAAGAACCCTTTTGGAACCCTTTTTTCTAAGAGTGTATATGTTTCCAGGTCAGCTTGAACCCATACGACAACACCCAGATCTGTGTGAGTGGGAATGGGGTCTTCAAGCTGTTCCGCTATGCAGAGGGGGTTCTGAAGCAGTCCACCTTCCATAAGCAAGAGACCCATAACTTCCTATCCCATGCCTGGATGTCTGAGGAGAGGGTGATTGCAGGGACAGAAGCAGGCAGGCTGATGGTGTTTGAGTCTGGAGACCTTCGATGGGACATGAGTGTGACCACCAAGGCCACCATGTCACAGGACTCAGACAGGTGGGCATAAGGAGAGACAGGCTTGTGCTGACACAGTAATAACCTACCTATCTACCATGAAATAAAATGTTACCAAATTAGCTGTTTAGAAAAGCTAGACCAATCTAAAGTGCTCTTGGATATCATACCACACAGGCAGTTAGAGTCCAGTTTGGGCAACTTCTTTCAATGCACAGGGCACAGAACAGATGTTACACAATTTCCATGCCTGCTGTGTTTCTTTTGACCTGCACACCGAAGAAGGTGAAAGCCGAAACGTCTGTGTATGTTACCCTCCTAATGCCGTAAAAATAATAAAAATAATAATAATAACAATCGAAAAATGTTACAGTGCAGAGAGAAATGATGAAGAGGCCCCTCCTCAGTTGCCAAGGGTTACAGTCATCACAGCTTACTCCAAAGGCTTTGCCTGCTCGGCCGGTCCTGGGACTGTGTATCTGTTTGAGAGAACGGACGACAAGGACAACTACAGGAAGACCAGGGAGATCAGGGTGACAGAATTTATTTCACCAAACTATCACTATCACTCAAGCGAGCTGTATAGTGCAAATCTAAGCACCTTCTGTACAAACAGACTATTTGTACAGAGGTTTCTGAAAATGTCACTGCCTTTGTATTTATACTTGTGTGTTTTTTATTAATGTAACTGTGTTGTGCATGCATGCATGTGTGTGTGTGTGTTCATGTATATGTTCCATTCAGATCCCCCCAGACCAGTGCAGTCACGAGCCCAGCTATGCAGAGCAGCAGCAGATAGTCTCTCTGGTCATCAGTCCATCAGAGGAGACAGTAGTGACCAGTACAGACCGTGGTCAGCTCTACAGTATCGCCCTGTCCTCTGCTGAGACGAGCAAGGGGGAGCAGGTCCAGTTTGAGTTCCTGTCCCACTCTTTCCACTCTGGGTCTATCACCGGCCTGTCCATCTGCATCCGCAAGCCCATCATCGCCACCTGCTCCCTGGACCAGTCTGTACGCATTTGGAACGTTGAGACCAAGTAAGAACTGTGGGTTTCACAATCCCTTTTAATAAAGATTTTCTGGACTTTATGTCAAGACTATACAGTGTCCCAGCCTGTGATGATTGTCTCAGCTCCTTTGTTGTTTTAGACACTGAACGGTAGTTACAGTATATGTGAGATTAATTTTTTTCTTGGCTGGCTGTTAGAAGGTTTTTAAAAGCCTTTATTAGGTATGTCTCACTTTCCTTTCCCCCCAGCACCCTCGAGCTGTATAAGGAGTTCCAGGAGGAGGCGTTCAGCATCGCCCTCCACCCCTCTGGCCTGTATGTCATGGTGGGCTTCTCTGACAAGCTGCGACTCATGAACCTGCTCATAGACGACGTCAGGACCTTCAAGGAGTTCACCGTGCGAGGCTGTAGAGAGGTCAGAATTAAGAGTTCTCAATGCCAACAGTGCCTCATTGTAGATAGCTGAACATCACTGGTACTTGAACATTGATTTGCAGTGTACTGTATGCTTTTTCCTTTTAGTGTGCTTTCAGTCACGGAGGACACCTGCTTGCTGCGGTCAATGGAAACGTCATCCACATCTACTCCACCTCCACGTTCGAGAATGTCCTCAACCTTAAAGGACACAATGGGAAGGTTAGGAATGGTACACTGGGGGAGGTCACTGATGGTTTACAGTGTGATTTATCATCAGAGAGTAAGACTCTAGCTAGCAAGCTCCAACTAGCCCACTAGCAGCCTGCCTCCGGCATATTCTTTGGCCCACATCTGGCAGCCGCTTGACCAACCACAGTTCCAGTAGGCCTCGCCTCAGGCCAACAGTTCCAGGCCATGTGAACTGACCAGGAAAGACGTTTGGCCCTAGTTAAAGCTTTGAGTTTTCCTGGTCAGTTCACCTGTCTCGAAAAACTCAGGGTCGCAGAGGTAACGTGACCGCATGTGGGTATTTTGTTTAAGGCTTTCCTGTCTCCATCTCCAGGTGCGCTCCATAGCCTGGAGTGGTGATGACAGCAGGCTGGTGTCATGTGGTATGGAGGGGGCTGTGTACGAGTGGAACACCCTGACTAGCAAGCGGGAGTCGGAGAGCGTCCTCAAGTCCTGCAGCTACACCAGTGTCACCGTCTCCTCCGACGCCAAGACTATCTTCGCCGTGGGGACCGACTGTACCCTGAAAGAGATCCAGGCCTGTCAAGTGAGACCCCCAAAAAGTACCATGTTTCTTCCCTCTAGGGAGTTTTTCCTGTCTGTTGCTTCGGCTTTGCTTGCTCTTTGGGGTCTAGGCTAGGTTACTGTAAAGCTCTTCTTGACAACTGCTGATGTAAAACATTAGATTGACATTTTATTGAAATGTCAGATACTCTGACAACTGCGTATTAGTTTTGAGATATAGTCAGTTATAATGATGCTATAAAATTATATCAGGTCTTTCTTGTAATAGCTATAAGATGGTTTTAATAATTGAGGGGTGCAATTAGAACTTATTAGCCAGGTCTACAGTATCTTCTTATTCTTACTATGCAGAAGTTTCCCTCGAGAGTGGTACTATGCTGACTGTTTTGAGTTAATATTTGATTTCCTTAAACTCTTCATTACATTTTTTGATGGTGTCAGTTTCCAGCTGTGTGAAGTGAAGTTCTGAAAGGGAAGTAAATAGTGTTTCCCTCTCTGTCATAATGACTGGGGACAGAGAGTTTATTACATTCCCACTCTGCTGTCACTTCTTCTCATCCCTGAGTGACGGCCATCTTTCTGACAGTCTATGAAAGCAATCAAGAAAGACGATACAGTCCGTCAAAAAAGAGGCCCTTTGAGTTATTCTGGGAAGCTGGAGCTTGGAGAGAAAAACCCACAACAATCATAAATATCTCAATTTGGAGGAGTTTTATCCAGTCCTGAATAGATCAGTGGTGATGTTGGATGCCTTCATCCATCCCCATCAGTCTATTTGCATTCCAAGTGTTGAAGTAAACAAAAATTTCACTGACAGAATATCCACTTCAATAAATGAGTCCCTGGGGGTTACCTCTGCTGCATTCATTTCTTGCCATCCCTTGATAGTAGCCTTTATATGGTAGCCTTTATATGGTAGCCTTTATATGGACATCCACTTTGTCCTCATCCACTGGCTGTCCCGTCTCTCTCTCTGTCAGATCCTACGTGAGGTGCCCGCTGAAGATGTGGCTTACACCACCATCGCCATGTCCCGTTCTGGGCGCACGCTCTTCACTGGGACCTCCATCGGAACCATCAGGGCCATCAAGTACCCCCTGTCCATCCAGAAGGACTGGATCGAGTACCAGGCCCACTCTTCACCTGTCACCAAGGTACGACTTGCAATGCCTTCACCAAACAGTAAAATACTGTGCATTGCAATGCAATACAACGCAGCACAATTTGAGCGATTACAGTGTAATGAACCACAACAACATGAAGCAACACAACAACACACACCCCTCACACACAACCTGTTTCGATGACGAGCTGATTTCAAGATTGATGGTAATCAGTGCAAAGGCCATTGATTTGAGTGGATGTATCATGAACGGAGGTGTTGAATCAATCAATCAATCAATTTTATTTTATATAGCCCTTCTTACATCAGCTAATATCTCGAAGTGCTGTACAGAAACCCAGCCTAAAACCCCAAACAGCTAGTAATGCAGGTGTAGAAGCACGGTGGCTAGGAAAAACTCCCTAGAAAGGCCAAAACCTAGGAAGAAACCTAGAGAGGAACCAGGCTATGAGGGGTGGCCTGTCCTCTTCTGGCTGATTATGTTTAAAGCCCTGTCTGTCTCACCTGTATCTTGGTCTTGGTCTTGAAGTGTGTGTCCTCTCTGTGTTCAGATGGTGATCACGTTTGACGACCAGTACCTGCTGACAGTATCTGAGGACGGCTGTCTGCTCATCTGGAAGATCATAGACAAGGAGGGCCGCGGCCTGAAGAGAGACAAGGAGATCACCTACGCTGAGGAGATCCTCATCATCAAGCCAGACCTGGAGGAGAAGGTAACTCACCATGGGGATCTTTGGAGCATTACACTGACATGATACATGGGTTGGGTGTGTTACATTATTGTAGGTTTGCAAGGGCCATGGTCACTCCTACTCTAACCTGATTACTCACATTATCCCTGTCCTCCTGTCCTCTCCTCTTCCCCCCTCTCCTCCCCTGCTCTCATGCCTCCTTTTATCTCTTCTCCCACTCTCTTCACTTCACTGCTTCTACTCTTCTTCCCTCCCTCGCTCATTCTCTTCCTCTCCCTCACTACCTCCTCTCCTCCTATAACAGAACCAGGTGATGTTAGAGCTGAAGACGCGTGTGGAGGAGCTGAAGATGGAGAATGAGTACCAGCTCCGTCTGAAGGACATGAACTACAACGAAAAGACCAAGGAGCTGTCAGCTAAGTTTGTTCGGCAGATGGAGTCGCTCAAGACCAAGATACAGGTGAGACAGACAGGGCTTTAAACATAATCAGTTAACTACTTCAAACAACTTAACTAAATAAAGTACTAGTCAATTTGATTCAATTACTTTTGTGAATTAGAGTGATGTAGCTACATTTAGATGGTAAATAGGCTCTGAGGTAAACACTAATATGGCATGAACTAGTACGGGAGACCGGGGACAATTGTAACAGGGGCCAATTGTAACAGGGGCCAATTGTAACAGGGGCCAATTGTAACACCATGAATTTCTCCAAACAGAAACAAGCTAGAGTGATGATACTCTCTCAGCACATGCCCATTTAGGGTTTCTCTCTGCTTGAAAGGTTGCAGCCAAATATCTCACTATTTGCAGGTGAAATTAGTTTTTTCGACTGCTGTATTTTTCTTATACTGTCCTGAGCATTAATGTCCAAGAATTCAAACTATCATAATTATCATCACAATATGTTGGCTAAACATTGACATGTTTGACATGTGTCACTATTGTTGTCTCTTGCTAGGCACATGAGATTTTGTCATGGCTGCTGGGTTGGGGTCAATTGTAATGCAGTGTTGAAATGAACCCGAGCCAAGCAGGCAATGATGAAAAAAAAGTTATATTAACTTTAGGATTGTATGAATTACACATTAATTATACAAGAACTAACTTTAAATAGCCTTGGAGTACTATAGATTGCCAAAAAAGTTGTAAACATATATCATTTGGGCACCATCAGACTATTAAAACGTTTTGAGAGGAACCGAATGACCATGCACAAACAAGGGTGTTACTGTAAATATTGGTTACACTCACATGAAAAAATACTATAGTATACTATGGTATAGATACTATAGTATTCACAGTAGTGTTTTTGCAGACTTTACTGTAGTATTCACTGTAGTAAAAGAAAACTTGTATATACTATAGTAAATCATGTAGTGTTTTTGCAGACTGTAGTATTCTGTGGTATTTACTATAGGGTTTTTGCGGAACGTAATATACTGTACTATTTACTGTAGTGTTTTTGCGTACATTACTGTAGTATTTACTATAGTATTTTTGTTATATTATCTTTGACATAGAAGTGGTGGCTTTTTCCTTCAGAAAATCTACTGGAGAAATACTAAAAGAGCACATTTTTCATAACCTGTAGGTAGGACTGAGGTCTGAACGGATAGTTCAGAGCTTCTGCTCTTTTCTATAACCTGTAGGGAACACAATATATGGTCTATACTTGGCATGTAGGTTTCTCACTTCTGGGTGGCACAAATTGGGAAATGGGGGATGGGAATTGGCAGGGTATATGCAAATTAAATACTGTAGTATTTACTATAGTTAATAAAGTGTAGTGATTTTTGCAGACTAGTGTTTTTGGAGACTGTAGTATTTTTGCGGACATTAGTGTAGTATTTACTACGTTTGTTGTGTGGATAATACTGTAGTATTTACAGTATACTCTACATTGTCACGCCCTGGCTCTGGGGACACTGTTATGTTGAGCCAGGGTGTGTATTCTATGTTTGTATTTCTATGTTGGCCTGAGTGACTCCCAATCAGAGGCAACGAGTGTCAGCTGGTTGTCTCTGATTGGGAGCCATATTTAACTGTCTGTCTTTCACTTTGTGTTTGTGGTTTCTTGTTCGTGTTGGTTTGTGTTTAACCGTAGACGTCACGTTTTCGTTTGTTGTTTTGATCGTGTGATCATTAAATATATATAAATATGTTCACCTTCAACGCTGCGCATTGGTCTCTCCCTGACGATCGTGACAGCAGAAACCACCAAAACTGGACCAAGCAGCGTGTCCAGGAGCCATTGCCTGGGGAATCGCTTGCAGATCTCCGTGGCAACCTCGACTGGGTCCAGCCTTGTAAAGAGCAGAGTGGATGGACTTGGGAACAGTGGAGGAAGAGTTTCGATTGGGTCAAGCCTAATGAAGAGCAGAATGGCTGGAGTTGGAGACAGAGGAGCGAGAGTTGGGCGAGAACGATAGAGGCCTGGCCCACGGGGAGGAGAGACCCCCAGAACATTTTTAGGGGGGGGCTCACGACGTCGGGGCAGCAGGAGGCCGCGATAGAGCGGTCCAGTGGGTTGGCAGAGGAGGCCGCCAGGTTACGGGGGCCACTGGTCGAAGAGGGGATGGAAGGTGGAGAGGCACGGCGAGAGGTACTGGGGTGTGTTACCAGTCCGGTCCGGCCCGTTCCAGATCCCGGTGTAGGGCCAGTGGCGTGTGTCCCCAGTACGGTCCGGTCTGTTCCTGCTCCCCGCACCAAGTCTGTGGTGCGTTTCGTCAGCCCTGTCCGGCCCGTTCCTGCTCTCCGCACCAAGTCTGTGGTGCGCGTCGCCAGCCCAGTCCGGCCCATTCCTGCTCCCCGCACCAAGTCTGTGGTGCGTCTCGTCAGCCAGGCTCGGCCCGTTCCTGCTCCCCGCTCCAAGTCAGTGGTGCGCTTCGTCAGCCCGGCTCGGCCCGTTCCTGCTCCCCGCTCCAAGTCAGTGGTGCGCTTCGTCAGCCCGGCTCGGCCCATTCCTGCTCCCCGCACCAAGTCTGTGGTGCGTTTCGTCAGCCCGGCTCGGCCCATTCCTGCTCCCCGCACCAAGTCTGTGGTGCGTTTCGTCAGCCCTGTCCGGCCCGTTCCTGCTCTCCGCACCAAGTCTGTGGTGCGCGTCGCCAGCCCAGTCCGGCCCATTCCTGCTCCCCGCACCAAGTCTGTGGTGCGTTTCGTCAGCCCTGTCCGGCCCGCTCCTGCTCCCCACACCAAGCCAGTGGTGTGCGTCGTCAGTCCAGCACGGCCCGTGCCTGTTCCCCACACCAAGCCAGTGGTGTGCGTCGTCGGTCCGGCACGGCCCGTGCCTGTTCCACTGGTGCCTGGTCCGGCACCGGTCAGATGCGTTACGCCGGAGCTATAGCAATCCGCTCCATCAGTGTGCAGTCCAGCTCCGGCCAGCGGGGCCAGACCGGACCAGGGGTACTTTGGGGGGTTGGAGAGGGAGTGGGGATCAGGCCCGGAGCCGGATCCGCCGCCAAGGCGAAGTGCCCACCCGGTCCCTCCCCTGTGGTATTTAGTTGGCGCGGTCGGAGTCCGCGCCTTTAGGGGGGGGTACTGTCACGCCCTGGCCCTGGGGACACTGTTATGTTGAGCCAGGGTGTGTATTCTATGTTTGTATTTCTATGTTGGCCTGAGTGACTCCCAATCAGAGGCAACGAGTGTCAGCTGGTTGTCTCTGATTGGGAGCCATATTTAACTGTCTGTCTTTCACTTTGTGTTTGTGGTTTCTTGTTCGTGTTGGTTTGTGTTTAACCGTATATATAAATATGTTCACCTTCAACGCTGCGCATTGGTCTCTCCCTGACGATCGTGACATACATTATACTACAACATTCTGTAGTTAGTACTACACATGATCGAGGGATACTGCAGTGTGTAGTATAGTATTCTACAGTATACTACAGTTTACTAAAGATTTCTATAGTAAGTACTGTAGTATTCTATAGTAAACTGTAGTATTTTTGTGGGCGTACATATAAATAATAATTTTCTTGTAAAATCATTACTTATGTCTATGATCATTCATAAACATTAATGTTTTTTAAGTTAAGTGAATGTATTTGGTAAATTTTTTAGGTGTTACATTTGACCCCAGCTACTGTTATTAAGACAGATGTACGTTTCTTATATTTAAAAAAAAAAGTGACTGGCCTAGTTCAAGTGGTCTCAATTGCCCCTGGTCTCCCCGACATCTGATTTACTTTGTACCAAATAACTCTGAGTCTGTTTACTATACAATCTTAGAAAAAAAGGGTTCCAAAAGGGTTCTTAATGGAGGAATATGGTTCTCGCAAGAACCCTTTTTGAAGGACAAGGGTTATTTGTAAGGCAAAGGGTTCTACCTAGAACCTTTAACATCCTAAGAACTGTTTTTGGAGGAAAGGGTTATTTGATAATTCTTTGGAAGGCAAGAAGGGTTCTACATAGCACCATATACAGTGGGGAGAACAAGTATTTGATACACTGCCGATGTTGCAGGTTTTCCTACTTACAAAGCATCTAGAGGTCTGTAATTTTTATCATAGGTACACTTCAACTGTGAGAGACGGAATCTAAAACAAAAATCCAGAAAATCACATTGTATGATTTTTAAGTTATTAATTTGCATTTTATTGCATGACATAAGTGTTTGATACATCAGAAAAGCAGAACTTAATATTTGGTACAGAAACCTTTGTTTGCAATTACAGAGATCATACGTTTCCCGTAGGTCTTGACCAGGTTTGCACACACTGCAGCAGGGATTTTGGCCCACTCCTCCATACAGACCTTCTCCAGATCCTTCAGGTTTCGGGGCTGTCGCTGGGCAATACAGACTTTCAGCTCCCTCCAAAGATTTTCTATTTGGTTCAGGTCTGGAGACTGGCTAGGCCAGTCCAGGACCTTGAGATGTTTCTTACGGAGCCACTCCTTAGTTGCCCTGGCTGTGTGTTTCGGGTCGTTGTCATGCTGGAAGACCCAGCCACGACCCATCTTCAATGCTCTTTACATTTACATTTACATTTTAGTCATTTAGCAGACGCTCTTATCCAGAGCGACTTACAGGAGCAATTAGGGTTAAGTGCCTTGCTCAAGGGCACATTAACGTCATTTAGCAGACGCTCTTAGCCAGAGCGACTCACAAATTGGTGCGTTTACCCTATAGCCAGTGGGATAACCACTTTACAATTTGGGGGGGGGGGGGGGGGTTAGAAGGATTACTTTATCCTATCCCAGGTATTCCTTAAAGAGGTGGGGTTTCAAATGTCTCCGGAAGGTGGTGAGTGACTCCGCTGTCCTGGCGTCGTGAGGGAGCTTGTTCCACCATTGGGGTGCCAGAGCAGCGAACAGTTTTGCCTGGGCTGAGCGGGAACTATGCTTCCGCAGAGGAAGGGGAGCCAGCAGGCCAGAGGTGGATGAACGCAATGCCCTCGTTTGGGTGTAGGGACTGATCAGAGCCTGAAGGTACAGAGGTGCCGTTCCCCTCACTGCTCCATAGGCAAGCACCATGGTCTTGTAGCGGATGCGAGCTTCAACTGGAAGCCAGTGGAGTGTGCGGAGGAGGGGGGTGACGTGAGAGAACTTGGGAAGGTTGAAAACCAGACGGGCTGCGGCATTCTGGATGAGTTGTAGGGGTTTAATGGCACAGGCAGGGAGGCCAGCCAACAGCGAGTTGCAATAGTCCAGACGGGAGATGACAAGTGCCTGGATTAGGACCTGTGCCGCTTCCTGTGTAAGGCAGGGTCGTACTCTCCGAATGTTGTAGAGCATGAACCTGCAGGATCGGGTCACCGCCTTGATGTTGGCGGAGAACGACAGGGTGTTGTCCAGGGTCACGCCTAGGCTCTTCGCACTCTGGGAGGAGGACACAGCGGAGTTGTCAACCGTGATGGCGAGATCATGGAACGGGCAGTCCTTCCCCGGGAGGAAGAGCAGCTCCGTCTTGCCAGGGTTCAGCTTGAGGTGGTGATCCGTCATCCATACTGATATGTCTGCCAGACATGCAGAGATGCGATTCGCCACCTGGTTATCAGAAGGGGGAAAGGAGAAGATTAGTTGTGTATCGTCAGCGTAGCAATGATATGAAAGGCCATGTGAGGATATGACAGAGCCAAGTGACTTGGTGTATAGGGAGAAAAGGAGAGGGCCTAGAACTGAGCCCTGGGGGACACCAGTGGTGAGAGCACGTGGTGCGGAGACAGCTTCTCGCCACGCCACTTGGTAGGAGCGACCGGTCAGGTAGGACGCAATCCAGGAGTGAGCCGCGCCGGAGATGCCCAGCTCGGAGAGGGTGGAGAGGAGGATCTGATGGTTCACAGTATCAAAGGCAGCAGACAGGTCTAGAAGGACAAGAGCAGAGGAGAGAGAGTTAGCTTTAGCAGTGCGGAGAGTCTCCGTGACACAGAGAAGAGCAGTCTCAGTTGAATGACCAGTCCTGAAACCTGATTGGTTTGGATCAAGAAGGTCATTCTTGAGAGAGGGAAGGAGGTTGTTGGCCAAGATCTCGCGATACATGGCCCCATCCATCCTCCCCTCAATACGGTGCAGTCGTCCTGTCCCCTTTGCAGAAAAGCTTCCCCAAAGAATGATGTTTCCACCTCCATGCTTCACGGTTGGGATGGTGTTCTTGGGGTTGTACTCATCCTTCTTCTTCCTCCAAACACGGCGAGTGGAGTTTAGACCAAAAAGCTCTATTTTTGTCTCATCAGACCACATGACCTTCTCCCATTCCTCCTCTGGATCAACCAGATGGTCATTGGCAAACTTCAGACGGGCCTGGACATGCGCTGGCTTGAGCAGGGGGACCTTGCATACGCTGCAGGATTTTAATCCATGACGGCGTAGTGTGTTACTAATGGTTTTCTTTGAGACTGTGGTCCCAGCTCTCTTCAGGTCATTGACCAGGTCCTGCCGTGTAGTTCTGGGCTGATCCCTCACCTTCCTCATGATCATTGATGCCCCACGAGGTGAGATCTTGCATGGAGCCCCAGACCGAGGGTGATTGACCGTCATCTTGAACTTCTTCCATTTTCTAATAATTGCGCCAACAGTTGTTGCCTTCTCACCAAGCTTGCCTATTGTCCTGTATCCCATCCCAGCCTTGTGCAGGTCTACAATTTTATCCCTGATGTCCTTACACAGCTCTCTGGTCTTGGCCATTGTGGAGAGGTTGGAGTCTGTTTGATTGAGTGTGTGGACAGGTGTCTTTTATACAGGTAACGAGTTCAAACAGGTGCAGTTAATACAGGTAATGAGTGGAGAACAGGAGGGCTTCTTAAAGAAACACTAACAGGTCTGTGAGAGCCGGAATTCTTACTGGTTGGTAGGTGATCAAATACTTATGTCATGCAATAAAATGCAAAAAATAATTACTTAAAAATCATACAATGTGATGATTTCTCTCACAGTTGAAGTGTACCTATGATAAAAATGACAGACCTCTACATGCTTTGTAAGTAGGAAAACCTGCAAAATCGGCAGTGTATCAAATACTTGTTCTCCCCACTGTATTTCCCAGCATGCGCTAATGAAGGGTGATTTTCAGAATAGTTTTAATATCTGTGTTTTTGTATGTACATTGATTGGTTGATTATAAAGAACATTCTAGGTAGAACCTTCTGCAAAGGGTTCTACCTAGCACCAAAAAGGGACAAACCGAAGAACCCTATATGGTTCTACTTAGCACCTTTATTTCTAAGCGTGTAGCTCAGTATAATACTTTTAACATGGTTTAACTTTCAAAAGTGTTCAGCTCTCATTATGGTATGCACTGAGTGTACTTTGCCTTGTAAGAGTCGGCCTTGATAAGAGCTACTGCTAGATCGATACATGGAAATGAGAATTGAAAGTGGCTCTGGCTGGGCTGGCGTAAGGTGCATGTATAGAGATATCCCTCTCTCTCTCCACCTTTCTTCATCCCTCTCACAATCTCTCCTGTCAGATCCTAAAGACGGAGAGAGACAATATGGAGGTAGCTAATCAGGAGACCATGTTCGAGGTCATGGAGAAACACTCCAAAGAGCTGCAGGATATGGGTGAGTTATTTTCTATTATATTCTGCTCTGCTCTATTCTATGCTATTCTCACTTCTTGTCCATCTTTCAGAATATATTTTTTAAACCTTTTAAGTTTGGAGTTAAGAGACTTGAATGAGACTTGAATGACTCCCATTGCAGTGTGTACATTGACAGCAGTACATGATAGCATTGACTGTGTTTGAGCCAGGGTCCTCATTGGATATCGTCTCTGTCTCTCTCTGCGTTCCCCTAGAGTCGGCCAACAGTCAGAAGCTGATGTTGGAATATGAGAAGTACCAGGAGCTGCAGTTCAAGTCTCAGCAGATGCAGCAGGACTACGAGGAACAGCTGCAGCAGATGGACGAGAGCAAGACTGCTGCCCTGGAGGAGCTCACCCTCTACTATGAGGGCAAGATCCAGGAGAAACTACTGGTGCTGGAGCAGGTAGGGGTTTCCAGGATGTCAAGAGGTTGTATGGGGACGTTTGGAGGTGGGATTTGGGATTTGGGGCTTTATATAGAGAGTCCTCACAGGTAGCTTCCTGTTTTTTCCCCTCACCAGGATGAACTTTGGGTTAGGGCCCAGAGTTTTCCCTGTTCAGGTCATGTGGTCAGGAAAAACTCCTGGCCCTACTTCAAGGTGATGTAGTCTAGTCAGGCGTTTAGCAGCACCTTCACCCTCTCTTTCTCCTCCCTGCTGTGACACTGATTGGAAGCGAAGAGACAAATGGTTTCTGGGAGCGCCAGGTTCTCCATCGAAGATGTCCGGAGTATCTTTAAGGAAATGCGACGTCAACTCCCATCATTGCTAATGGGGGTGTGAGCAGCGGACATGGGGAGAGGGGCGGGTGGGGTATGTGGGTGGCACAACACAGGGCCTGCATAACCACCTTATTATTTCATTCTGAATGGAATAGACAATTAAACGAGATATAGAGAGAATTTTAAGATCCCCTTTATTGGGTAAAGACCCCACACTACAATACATCACGTCACCAGTTGATAGAGCATGGCACTTGCAACTCCAGGGTTGTGGGTTCGATTCCCACAGGGGACCAGTACAAAAATGTATGGACTCATTACTTACTGTAAGTCGCTCTGGATAAGAGTGTCTGCTAAAATGGCCTAAAAATATATACATAAAAAAAAATCATAATAGTAGACAGAGAAGTATACTGTTGACAAGACACACATATTTGGGCCTTCCTAACCTCCCACCATTGCCTCAAAGTTCCCCTTTGTAGCTCTACACAGGGCCTGCATAATCACCTTATTATTTAACTCTGTAGAGAAGAGTAGAGAGAGAGGAGGAGAGAGAGATAGATAGAGAGAGAGAGAGAGAGAGAGAGGAAGAGAGATAGAGAGAGAGAGAGAGCGAGGAGATAGATGAGATGAGCGAGAGATAAGATCTGAGAAGAGAGAGAGAGAGATATCGAGAGAGAGAGAGATAGGTGCGAGAGAGCTCTCTATCTCATCTCATCTCTCTTCTCGCTCTATCTTCTCTATCTAGCTGCTCTCTCTTCTCTCTAGACGTGCATGGAATGCAGAGCATCTCAGTGGCCTGACCCTGACTGGGATAATTGAGGATGTACTAAAGGTGAATAAACAAACACCCAACAATGGGATTATCCAGCTTCTTCACAGATGTCATGCTAGGATGACCTAACCTCTGTCTGTGTTGTGAGGCAGAGCTCCCGTTCATACCCTCTTTATCTCTCTCTCCCTCTGTCCTTTGGTCTCGTGCCCTCTGTCTCTTTTTCTAATCTTTCTTATCCTCACTCTATATCCTTTCACCGCTCTCTTTCTCTGTATCTCATTCCTTCTCTTCAACTTAACTCTTCTCCTGTCAGCAATGGGTGTGGCTGAAATAGCAAAATCTACTAATTTGAAGCAATGTCCACATACTTTTGTATATACTGTATAGTGTAGCTAGGTGAGACAACCACATCTGTTATTTTTTAAATAAAGTAGCTATCAGCAAAACCAGTGCTAGTAGGAAAAAGTCAAGTGTTCGTTCACGAAAGGAAATTTTTTGTGGAGGATGAGGGGGGGTGCTGTGGGAATATTTAAGATACTCTTTAAAGAGGTAGGGTTTCAGATGTTTTCGAAAGATGGCCAGGGACTCTGCTGTCCTAGTATCAGAGGGAAGCTTGTTCCACCATCTCCCACATATGTCTCGCTCCCTCCCTCCCTCCCTTCCTTCCCACCCCTCCCTCTGTAGTGCCAGGAGGAGTCTCGTATCCAGGTGAGGGAGTTTGAAGAGAGCAGGAAGCAGATGGAGGAGGATGGAGACAGGGAGATCCAGGACATCAGGATCCGCTACGAGAGGTGGCTGAGGGACGAGAGGGAGGCCAACATGCTCATGAAGAGAGACACCGGCATCATGAAGAAGAAGGTAGAGACATGATCTTCTCACCTCCCACTCCTCCACTATCCCCATCGCTCTCAAAAGTTTCCTTGATTCCTTTGGTCCTCTTGCCTTCTTCTCAGAACATCAGAGGGATACGAGGAGAGCATTGGAGGAGAAGATCAGAGGGTCCTCTCCTCAGATCTTCTCCAATGCTCTCCTCACTTTTTTCTGATGTTTTGAGAAGGAAGTGGGGAGAGAACAGGAGGATGCAAGATTCACCCCTACTCTGCTTCCAAGTCCTATCCCATCCTACACACTCTACTCAACCCTCTCCCACCTAGCCCCTGCCTGCCTTTTCATCAGCTCTTCTCTCCCAGCCTGCAGTGTGGTAGATCATAATTACAGCCAATCAGACGCAGCATACAGCCTGCTGACTGCAAGCAGGGCATGTCCATCTGTCCACAGTTAGGCTCTAATGCGCTCCCTCTGCATGCTCACTCAATATCACAGGGATCACTTTAATGGAGAGGGATGACGTTGAATCAGATCTGCTGCATATTCTGCAGTCCTATACACCTGGTCCCATTCTGTCTATCTGTTGTCTTTTCTTGTCTTCTCTCTGTCTTTTTTTGTCTCCTTCCATTTCTTCCTAGATCAGGGCAGGCTATTTTTACTATCCAATATGGTTTGGGATGTGGAGGCCTTATTATGGGTTATGGGAAGCTAGAAAGAATATGACGATTGTGTTAATGACAATGAGTTATGAGGATGGTGACTGATGACATTTCCCTCCCTCCCTCCTTCCCTTACACACACACACATACACACACACACACACACACACACACACACACACAGTTCAGCAGCCTGCAGACGAATATAGACAACAGGAACGTGGAGATGGAGAGGATGAAGTCGGAGCAGCAGAACCTACAGGCCATCATCAAGTCCCTGGAAAAGGACATCCTGGCTCTGAAGAAAGCGATCCAGGAGAGGGACGAGACCATCCAGGACAAGGTGAGTGAGTGGCTGGGGTGAGGGGGTACAGGGGGTGAGGGGGTACAGCCAGGCGCCGTGGAAAGGAGAGGGTTAGTTTTGTTCCAAAAGGAGTGAGGCAGGAATTATTGGTTTGCCTCCAAGGTATGCAGAAACATGGAAGGTATAGTTGACTGGACGTCACTGAAACTGTTAAAACACTGAGGAAGGAAAACAGTCTGTTTTGTATAATGGACCTCTAGACTGGTATGATTGTGTTCCAGTTTAGTTTGTTCTAATGCCCCTCCCTCATAATTAAACACAATCAACTCATACGCTATTATAAATTGTCCATAAAAGTTTCCTTTCCACATCCATTCATCCTGACTGAGTCCCAGTGCCATACATCACACCAGGCAAGGTGACTGTGAGACTGTAAGACTCCTCCCCCCAGCGCAGAACAGCACTGAGCCTTGAGAAGAGAAGGTTCCACTAATTAATAATCCCACGCAGACACCTGCTCTATGAGCACAAACTCACATGCGCACACACGTATGTGCATAGGCGCACACACATGCATGCACAACATGTGTCAGTGCGTAAAACCTCCTTAACAACATGCTTGCTGCTGTTAGCACAATTGATGTGTGAGACACTGTGGCATGTTATTTCCCTTAAAGTGCATGTCCATATTTTACCATCCGCGTTATGAGGGGGCAGACAGGGGGAGAAATGCATTTGCATTTCTCTCTCTGTTGGCTCTCATTGTGTATACAGGGAAACTTAATTGATCACTGTGGCTTTAGTGTGTAAATGTCACAGATGCTGTCCTATGAAAAGATCTGCCCCCTACACACTCACACTCACATACACACACACACACACACACAAGATGAAACGCTTTCAAACAGCTAATTGGACGGAGAGTAAATTCTAACAAAATGGTTCTGCATCAAAACCCCTTCCTCTTCATGAATAAAGATTCACACTCAGCAGCATAACCGTGGCATCTGTTGTTCCTACGCTCTCTTGTCTGGTTTGCTCGCTTGTCTCTAACGATAATACATTTGAACATTAAGAGGTGCTGCCCAGAAGTTAAGCCGAACATTTAGATTTGGATCACCAAAGTGCTTTTATTGTTGAATTACTCATACAAAATGGCATTTCCTTTCAACTTCATGGGATATCAAAGTTTGGAAGAGGACCATGAACATAATTTCACTTTTAAAAAGTGACTATAAAAATGTAATGGCTTATTTAAATGATCTAAGAACCTGTACCATGGCGCTACCACATCATAACCATGAGTCATTAAATGGCTGTTAAATGTGTAGTCAGTCAGTGTGAATATTAACTTTATACAGAGATCTGAGGCCTGTTTATACTTTCTTGCCAACCATTATTGTTGTTGTGTGACAATGAGTTGGCAAGACAGCACAAACAGATCTGGGACCAGGCTAAAGTCTTGTCTTGTTCCTGTGTACTGTAGGAGAAACGCATCTATGATCTGAAGAAGAAGAACCAGGAGCTGGAGAAGTTTAAATTAGTCCTGGACTACAAGATCAAAGAACTGAAGAAACAGATAGAGCCCAGAGAGAATGATATCAAGGAGATGAAGGAGCAGATCCACGAGGTAAAACAAGATGGCTTCTCTTCTTCCTCATTTATCAGCTCTTTAACAGGTTAACTGTCATTTCTTCAATTGTTGAAAACCATCACTGAAATGTCCCTTGAGTACATACATTCTATCGGCAGTTGTCCACAGTAGGCTAACTGAAATGTCTCTTTGAGTAGAATGAGAATTCAATGTTCACAGAGTAAATCAGTTCCTACTTTTGTACTTGTCATCATTGATACTTTTTGAAACTGCCTGCCAACTTCAGGCCCTTTTCATCTAAATGGAAATGAGCACTGTGGTCCATATAAATGTAGGGTTGATCAGGGTTTAGATGTCCTATAGATCAGCTGTGTGAGAGAGAGAGGGAGGTGGGAGAGAGTGAAGAATATAGAGATCAATGCTATGCCCCCCCACCCCACCCCTCTACACTCTAACTCCACTCACACTTGTATTTTCCTACTAGCACTGACTTTGCACATAACTTCTTACCATGACTGTGATAATGTGGTTGTCTCGCCTAGCTATCTTTAGATGAATGCACTAACTGTAAGTTGCTCTAGATAAGAGTGTCTGCTAAATGTATTTTCTAAAAACTATGTATTTTTACATTTTACATTTGAGTCATTTAGCAGACGCTCTTATCCAGAGCGACTTACAGTTAGTGAGTGCATAAATTTTCATATGTAAGAAGGCTTCCTGTGATCTGTAGATGGAGGAGGAGCTGGATACCTTCCACAAGAAGAACACTCAGCAGGAGCTGGACATCGCTGAGCTGAAGCTCAAACTCACCACCACTGACAAGGAGATGCACAAGGGCCTGAAGAAGGTGTACTCTATAAGTAGATACTGTACATAAAAGTTGGAGAGAGAGAGAGAGGTTCATAAGTTTATATTTGTGCATTTATCTTTGTCTGACTATCAGTGCCACCCAATTTGTCTGACAAGTCCACGATCTTCACCCACAGTCTCACCTCCATCCCTCACTTTTCCTCTCTCCCTCCACATCTCCCCTCCTTCTCAGGTGAGAGATGTGGAGGCCCTGGTACGCCGGTTCAAGACGGACCTCCATAACTGTGTGGGGTTCATCCAAGAGCCCAAGAGGCTGAAGGACAGCATCAGAGACCTGTACGACCGCTACGCACAGCAGAGTGACGTGGTGAGACAGCGTTGGCTATTGTGTGTTCCTGTTAAGAAGTACTGAATGCAACACGTTTTTAAATGGCTGCTCTTCATGTCTCTCAGCTGGATATAGTTAGTGTGGATGGAAACATCCAGAGGGAGTACGCTCGGCAAAGGGAGCACCTGGAGAGGAACGTGGCGTCCCTGAAGATGAAGCTGGCCAATGACAGCGTGGTCCACCATGCTGACAACGTCAAGATCATGCAGGTGACAGAGACAAGACTTTTCAGAAAGGACTGTTGGAGTAGGTGGATAAGTATGTCTGTGTGCCCAACACTATTTTCATAGGATTTGTGGATTTGGTTTCATTCCCATTTATAAGACACCCAAAAGCTAGGCTTGTTGTTTAGTGTTGTATTCCTTGACTGGCTGACAGACAGATGGACGGACGGACTAATTGACTGACTGACTGACTGATTGCTTGACTGGATAATTGATTGGTTGCTACAGGAGAACGTGACTCTGATCAGTGAGGTCAACGACCTGCGGCGGGAGCTGCATCTGGTACGTTCCCAGGTCCATGACTACAAGGGTCTGATGGGAAAGAAGGGCCAGAAGCAGACCAACACACTCAAAGGTGACCTCTTTCTCACTCATCTCTCTGATTTACAGTAAAGAGAATAGAGTGCAGCTTGCTACTCATTGGAAAGATTGGTTGAGTAAAGTTCACTGAACTTTCCTCTGAAGTAGAGTATTCATATTTTTAGCCACTGGGTGCCACTGTGTGAATAGTCTGTATAATAACTTTTCCCCCTGTGGTAAAACCACATTTCTACTCTTTTATTCACTTCATATTCATATAAGTGCTTTAGAAGTGGGTGTCTGGTCACAGTCTCATTCCAAGAAGGCATACCCTAGTTGTTTGGAGTATTCCCTAAGAATTTAGGGTAACGTCCTATCGGCCTACTTCTACTTCCCTATAAAGTAACTCCTGCATGATCTCACTCTGAATTGGTCCCTATACCCAGCCCTGCTGTCTCCCAGGGCCAACCCCAGTAACATGGTGGTCCGTCTGAACGAGGAGGACGAAGGGGACCGCATCATCCAGCTGCAGCGCCTGGAGATCAAGAGACTGAGAGAGGAGATCCAGGTCCTGATGAAGATACACTCCTACAGACCCCCCTCCACCACCAAGCTACCCTCCCTCCAAACCAATGCATAACCACCACCACCCTCTCTCCAGACCAATACATAACCTCCTCACCACCAATACCACTCACCCAACACACAGACCCATGCAGTATGAGACCTCCACATCATAATAAATGGAATATACAGCACATTTTTACAAATTGAAAGTGCCTTTTAGCAGAAGCAATAATTAATGCCATTTTTTAAAAGCAGCTAGAAAATAAAAGTAGAACAATTCATATTTGAGTTTTTATATCATTTTCTATTTTTTTATGAGATGGGGCCCATTGGAATTTCCAAAAGTGAATGGAGGCTGTTCCTGTCCAGGTGGATCAGATCAATAAGTCATTGTGTCAGACTGGAAATGATTAATGTTTTATGACAAACTATTCATTAACAAGAACAATTGACATTGTTGGGTATTGTTCATCTAAAACAGTCTACACCATATTGATTAAATATTTTATAGGCTTGTCAGTAGCCTTTTTGTGTTTTGATTGATGCATGTGGTGTGCATATTTAACGGGACTGCTCGGTGAAAGGGTATTCCTTTTTACGTTACTGTAAAAACCAACACATAACCACCCTACCAACCCCCCCTCCACCGCCAAGCTACCCTCCCTACAAACAAACACACAACCACCCCTACAGATCCCCCTCCACCCCCAAGCTACCTTCCCTCCAAACCAACACATATCCACCCCCCCCCCACACCGCCAAGCTACCCTCCCTACAAACCAATACATAACCTCCTCACCACCACTACCACTCACCCAACACACAGACCCATGCAGTATGAGACTTCCACATCATAATAAACTGAATATAAAGAACTATTTGACATATTGAAAGTGCCTTTTAGCAGAAGTAATAATGAATTTAAAAAAATTTACAAGCTGTGATTAATGTGAGGAACCGTTAGGGGGTAGGCTGAGACAGACTTGTGATTCACACACACACTGCCTCTTTGTTAAACCGCTCAAGGACATGTGTTCTGCTACAAAGAAGAACAAACTATGTCTGAGGTTGCTGACTCGAGACAAGTTGTAAAGATAACAACTAATGCCCGGCAACAGTGAAGCGCCAAGGGGCTGGGACCAGCCTGTGCGCCATCGATAGGTGGGGTAAGTTTAAACCACACCCAGCCTCTACTCTGACAGGCCCAGCAGGGAGCGGGAACTATCTCTGTCAGAGTATTTAAAGAAGAACTTATAACAAAAGCTCAGTTCTCTGACTGCCCTGCGTGGTTTTTCAGTGGGCCCGTATATACGAACATCATATTTACCATTCAAGTGTTTGCATTAATTAAAATACTAGTCTATTTTAGAAGACGTGTATTGACCTCTTTTTGTTCCTATACCAGATTTGAATTGATGCAACTTGACACTGTCCAGGTGGATCAGATCAATAAGTCATTGTGTCAGACTGGAAATGATTAATGTTTTATGACAAACTATTCATTAACAAGAACAATTGACATTGTTGGGTATTGTTAATCCAAAACAGTCTACACCATATTGATTAAATATTTTATAGGCTTGTCAGTAGCCTATTTGTGTTTTGATTGATGCATGTGGTGTGCATATTTAACGGGGCTTCACGGTGAAAGGGTATTCCTTCTTATTACAACCATAATAATGGGACATGGCAAAAACGATATGCCTGTCATTCTCTGGGCCTGAAAAAGTATAGGGGAAATCCTATTTTGTCTGTTTGCTCCGTGATATCTTAACGGTGTACTCCCCCTTTCATGAGATGAGTTTATAATTCCAGGCTGGCGCGCGGGCTTTCCCAGTGGGACGTCGGCGAAAGGTCGCGCGCTGCATTGTAGCCAAAGTATGGATAACTGCATACGCGGAGAGTAACTGAAAGTGTAGCCAGATCCGTTCTCGCCCCCCAACCGGCGTCGCTGCGGCGTGATAGTCCGCTCGACCTGAGCACTGTTCAGGAAGCGAGAGGCACACACTTTCATCACCCTACACCGCAGAAAGGTAGTCTAGTCAGAGTTGCGTAGATGATCGAGACGAGAGTGTTTCAAACAGTTTCTGCACGCACCAGATTAGCCGCGGCATATGTTTGGGAATTGGAAATACCTCCCGGCGCACGAGCGCAGATCTGTGTGTGGAGCCGTTCCGTTTCACACCACTGAGAAACGGGGATTAAGAGCGACAGGGGACGTGTCGGCAGCACGCACAGGTAAATAACTTACAGAATACAAATACCAGACAGAGAGTGCATGAATCACACAGTCGTTTTGATAAAGCCAAATTACCTAAAGCACACTGTATAACTTTCTGTTATAATAATAATCGATCCACCTTTAGTTCCTTTCTGGGCTGCTTAATTGAAGAAGGTAGTCAGACAACACTGCATAGACTAGCCTATTTCCCTTTTTAAAAAATAATCCAGTTAGTAGAGGTGAATCTAGACTAAATGTAGCCTAGTTTATTGTTGATGTGTTATGATCTGTCCTCATGACAGGTTCATCATATGACAGTGTTATATAGCTTTATGACAGCCTTAAGACATTTGTTACTGTATGTTTATTGAAATGTCTACCTTGTCACCATTCTGTTGAGACAATCATCCCAGAGTAGGCTACATTGGAGAGTTAGCTCGCTGCAGTTGCAACACATTGAATTCAAATAACCCTATGTATTTTCTGAAAGACTCCAAGCCTATTTTCCTGAAAGCTATCGCCCATGAAAAGACATTGTTCCTCATAATTAAGTAATTTGTCAAAAAAAATTAAGTGGGAAACTGGTCACTTACTTGGTCCACCCCGTTATAAAGGTTTTCTAAAAGTTTCATCATGGTTATTAGCTGTTTGACAGAAGTTTTAATTAATAGTACATTAATAAATAGAGTGTGAGCTGACCAGTGACCATATGATACATATTTTACAGTCATGGGTTTAAAAAACTAACAATCCTTATCCTGTCCTACGTATGATGCAAATAATGAAGTCACATCTGTTTTCAGCCACATTTATGCCTGACTGGAATAGCTGAATAAATATGAACCTTTTATTGACAGACCGAATGGGTGGAACAGGTTTTGTGGAGGACTGAATTGTCTAGTGTGTTTTGATTTAAGTGAACCAGGAAGTAGCCTATACTGTAACTTGTTCCTGTCAATATCACATCACACCCTAACCTTTGGACCACAGTGTTAGTGTTGTCCTCCAACCTCTAAACACTGTTATGATGTCGTTATGTCATGGACCATGACTCCACTTTTATATAAGGCTACCATACAAAGCAAAGGTCATTGATGTTGTGGAAAATCAATCTAGCATATTCTTATGCAACAGTTAATACTTACATCTAGCAGGGAACAACAATGAGGGAAGTCAGTCCCATCTCATGATGACCAAAATACACAACATAGTCTCACCAATAGACTAAAAGATGAGAGTGAGTGAGCGAGTGACTGCATGCATGCTTGTGTATGGCAAAGAGAGAAGGAGAGAGAGAATAGTAAGTGAACTCGTGATGTTTAAGGAGTGTGCGCGTGCATGTACAGTTGAAGTCGGAAGTTTACATACACTTAGGTTGGAGTCATTAAAACTCGTTTTTCAACCACTCCACACATTTCTTGTTAACAAACTATAGTTTGTTAGGACATCTACTTTGTGCATGACACAAGTCATTTTTCCAACAATTGTTTACAGACAGATTATTTCACTTATAATTCACTGTATCACAATTCCAGTGGGTCAGAAGTTTATATACACTAAGTTGACTGTGCCTTTAAACAGCTTAGAAAATTCCAGAAAATGATGTCATGGCTTTAGAAGCTTCTGATAGGCTAATTGACATCATTCGAGTCTATTGGAGGTGTACCTGTGGATGTATTTCAAGGCCTACCTTCAAACTCAGTGCCTCTTTGCTTGACATCATGGGAAAATCAAAAGAAATCAGCCAAGACCTCAGAAAAACAATTGTAGACCTCCACAAGTCTGGTTCATCCTTGGGAGCAATTTCCATATGCCTGAAGGTACCACGTTCATCTGTATAAACAATAGTATGCAAGTATAAACACCATGGGACCACACAGCCGTCATACCACTCAGGAAGGAGACGCGTTCTGTCTCCTAGAGATGAACATACTTTGGTGCGAAAAGTGCAAATCAATCCCAGAACAACAGCAAAGGACCTTGTTAAGATGCTGGAAGAAACAGGTACAAAAGTATCTATATCCACAGTAAAACGAGTCCTATATCGACATTACCTGAAAGGCCGCTCAGCAAGGAAGAAGCCACTGCTCCAAAACCGCCATAAAAAAGCCAGACTACGGTTTGCAACTGCACATGGGAACAAAGATTGTACTTTTTTGAGAAATGTCCTCTGGTCTGATGAAACAAAAATAGAACTGTTTGGCCATAATGACCATCATTATATTTGGAGGAAAAAGGGGGAAGCTTGCAAGCCGAAGAACACCATCCCAACCGTGAAGCATGGGGGTGGCAGCATCATGCTGTGGGGGTGCTTTGCTGCAGGAGGGACTGGTGCACTTCACAAAATAGATGGCATCATGAGGAAGGAAAATTATGTGGATATATTGAAGCAACATCTCAAGACGTCAGTCAAGAAGTTAAAGTTTGGTCGCAAATGGGTCTTCCAAATGGACAATGACCCCAAGCATACTTCCAAAGTTGTGGCAAAATGGCTTAAGGACAACAAAGTCAAGGTATTGGAGTGGCCATCACAAAGCTCTGACCTCAATCCTATAGACATTTGTGGGCAGAACTGAAAAAGTGTGTGCAAGCAAGGAGGCCTACAAACCTGACTCAGTTACACCAGCTCTGTCAGGAGGAATGGGACAAAATTCACCCAACTTATTTTGGGAAGCTTGTGGAAGGCTACCCAAAACATTTGACCCAATTAAACAATTTAAAGGCAACGCTACCAAATACTAATTGACCCACTGGGAATGTGAAGAAATAAATAAAAGCTGAAATAAATCATTCTCTCTACTATTATTCTGACATTTCACATTCTTAAAATAAAGTGGTGATCCTAACTGACCTAAGACAGGGAATTTTTACTGGGATTGAATGTCAGGAATTGTGAAAAACTGAGTTTAAATGTATTTGGCTAAGGTGTACGTAAACGTCCGACTTCAACTGTATATGTGTGTGTCACAGATGTATGTGTATGAGACAGATTGTGGTCTGGCCTGTGCTGTGTTCAGTAGGTTGCAGCCTGGAACCCTGTGAGGATCAGGTTGTATGTTAGGCTCCTGTTTCACCGAGCAGGGAGATCTAAATATGCTGAAGGCTGCCTCTGAACCCACACAGCGACACTGAGAGAAAAAAAGGAAAAGGTGAACCAAAAAACAAATAAGTAAACCGGTTTCCTGTCAGCAGAGTGGAGCAAGGCAAGGGGGACAAGACGTGAGTGCATGTTAATTGGTGATTTGATTAGTGGTTTAATATTGCAGCTGTGCTCAATACAGGCAGTCTGGGGCTGGCCACGGACTCAACACAGGGAGTTTATCAGGCAGGCCTCTGGGAGAAAGCAACGCAGAAAGAGAGAGAAAACAGTCTGCATCCTAGGATAAAAGTGCTGTTCAGAACAGTTCAGTATACTTTTCAGAATGGTGGTAGGATTACGATGGGGCGTATGGTTACTGTGTACTTACTGTGTGCTTATTGTGTGCTTACTGTGTGCTTACTGTGTACTTACTGTGTGCTTGTGTTCTGGTGTTGTTTCTCCATCCAGTTTTCAGAAGAGCTAGAGCCAGGTGTCTGAGACCAGCAGGTGGGGAAATACCAGTATTTTCCTCTTGTAATATGTTTGTATGAGTCTCTTGAAAGTCTCCAATTAAAATAGCATTAAAGCCAATTTTGAGATGGTGTGACTAAACCGAACTGAACCGAACCTGCCCTCCCAAACCTCGCTACATCTCTCTATATCTCCCTTCCTCTCTCATTGCTGACTGAAGGCGTCCTGGGTCTGATGTCTAAGGAGGACACAGTGACAAGGAGACAGAGTCACAGGCAGTGAGTCGGCCCATTGTCCCCTCACCGTGCCTAGCCACAGAGAGGGTCCCCAGGCCCCTGCCTGGAAAGTGACAGGAACAGAGACACAGCCTGAATAAAGAACCATTCACAACCTCTCTGTCTCTTTCTCTCTCTCTCTCTCTCTCTCTCCCTCCATCTCTCTCCTTCTCTTTCTGTACTTCCTAACCTCTCCCCTCCCTCTCTCATCTCTCCCCCCTCCCTCACTCCCTCCCTGTCTCTCTTCCCCTCTCTCTCTCTCTCCACCCACCACGCCAACTCTACCCAGAACATCCCAGCCTCATCCCCAGGCCCCTGCCTGCCTCCAGCCCCTAGCAGCACCAGCCTCACAGCCTCACAGCCCCCATGGCACTTGGCACTGATTCCCACCACAAGGACAGATGGTGCCAACCCTGACCTCTCTCCTCGCCCGCGGGGACCACACCGCCACAGAGGGACCGCCCACTGACAGGAAGAGGAAGAGGAGGGAGCTCCGTCACCACGGCAACCCCTAGCCCCACATCCTCCCCAAGGGCCTCAGATAAACACATTCACACAGTAGGACCTCGGTGAGTACCCTGTTTCGTTTGTAGCCGGCTAATTTGTGCCTGTGAGACTTCACCACAATCAGACTTTTTCCATGCCTGTTTGGACTGTATGAGAATGTACTGATGGACCAGGACCAGCGCAGGAGTATGACATTAGTTTGCTGAAAGCCAGTGAAACTCCATCCTGTTGGGACTGCTCCTCTTTCCCTCCTGGCTGGTCTGGCCTGGATGAATTATTAAACGGTCTCCACAGCCAAGCTCAGGCTCAGTGCTTCTGGGAGCTCTAAAGGCCTCTTTAAACCCTTGCTGATTGAAGGGATCGGAGTCATGTGTCAAAGGTCAAACGACACTGCAAAGAGGAAGGAGGTAGAAGCAGTTTCAGCCGTTTGACTGCAAATCAAAGCAAAACCTCTGCAACTATCTGGCTCCCTTGGCTCTCATCTCCTCCAGACAGAAGTCAAACAACCACCATTTTGTTTATTTTTCACTGGATATTATTATTATATTGAACCCATTAAAACTTGATGTACAGACTGATTACCATATAATGGCAGACTCCTATAAAAAAACAGAACAGCACTTCAACATAAAATTAGACACTAATGGCTTGGTGGGATGAATTCAGCAGGGCCAAATAACAGAGGAGGGAATACGGTGTCCCTAAAGCGTAGCAGGTAATTGGAGAAAAGCACAGCTTCTCTGTCGAGCCGACCGACAGACTGACCTTCAGGCTGAAAACTCGGAACCAAAAAGGCATGAACTAACTGGGATTTCATCATCATTATCACAGAGAACATTTGCATAACTGCAATATGCTGCACTTAACTACCATCAACATTGTTGGGTGCAGACGTTTGGGAAAAGCCATTGTCTGCACCTGTCTGCTAGAAAATACGGAAGAGAGACTACACTAGAGCACAGGGAGAGAAAACAGAGGAGCAGATGATAAAGGTATATATAATGAGGTCAGTGTAATCTGTGTGATATGATGGAGAGGTCAGCTGTAATAAGAGAGAAGGCAGAAAGGGCTTACACGCCATGTGCCTCTAGAGAGAGGGAGAGGGAGGGAGAGAGAGCGAGGGGAGAATGTGTAAGGTGTGTGTGAGTGTGTGCATGCGAGAGAGAGAGAGATGTGTGAGTATTGTTTTTGTCCAGCTCATATGCCACCTCAATTACTGCCTTCTATTCCTGTTCAGTCAGTGGCATCAGATCCAAACCTGCTGGGAGTTAATTAGTGACTCAACAACACACACACACACTGCACACCACGTTCACACACAGTGCGCACACACACACTCACTGTGTACACACATCCACCTCACAGTTATGAAATTAATCCACGTCGAGCATTGGGAGTCCAATAAACACAATACACTCTGTGTAATTAAGTATCCCTTCACTTCACACCTCATGTGAACACCTTGTCTCAGCAATATTGTGTCCCAGTGTGATGGTCCCTGTGTGTTGGTGATGAGGGCTCATCACACCCTGCTGCTGTTCAGCTCAGACAGACAGGTAGTGTTTGTGTAAGCAGGCCTGCGAGGACAGTTGGAATTGCTGTCAGAGAGCTGCTGCTCTGTGCTCTGTGCTCGCCTCGCGCCTCGCGCTGTTGACTTTGATAGTAAACGCGCTGACAGGATTTTAAAGACAAGCTGTCTGCGGCGTAACCTTGAGAGTCGCTGGGACTACAGGGACGGCTTATTGATAAAGGGATTAATACTTGAGCCCTTTGCCGTTGCGCCGCTATCTTAGAAACATCACCTCGGGGGAATAAACGGGAGGTTGCTCACAACACAGAGGACGAGAGCTGGGTTACTACACATAACGACAGGGTGCTGGTCTGAAAAACACAGGAGAAGTGAACCGTAAAGATGCCAGGCCATGATATGTGTGTGCCTGTGTGCCTGTGAGTGAGAGAGAGAGAGAAAGAATGCGAAATAGAAAGTGTGCGTGTGTTGTTTATTCGTGGTCTCACCTAAATGCCTCTGCACAAATTTGCATAGTGAGAATGAGGGGGTTTCAGGTTGCCTCTTCAACAGGATGTTTTCAGTCAGTCCAAACACCTCTCTCTGCAGGGTACCTCTGTTGTATGGCAGGAGCTCTACTGTTTACAGCTGCTGTAAAGATGCCATATGCCGCAGGGTGTATGTGTGTGTGCATGTCAGCAGGTGGCTCTTATCTTCCCTGTCTCTCCTCTCCCCAGGTATCTATCAGGCTCCATCCTGGTCCCATAGCTCTGAGGGTTCAGTGAAGGGCTGTCCTCTCAGGCTGCAGTGGATTACCTGTGATCCACAAAGAATACCTGTAATCCAGTGAGAAGGAACTGTGATCCGGAGAGAGGCCCAGTGATCGATTCACTAAGGGCTGCTGTGATCCACTGAGGACTGAGTTTCAGAGAGAAGGAACTATGATCCAGCACTGAGTGATCCAGGTTGTGTCCTGTTAGTGTTCTGCTGTGGTGAGCGTGGCCGTCAGGCTGGGAGGATCAGGATGCCAGAGCTGGAGGACTTCCCCCCGATGCGGGGTAACCAGCCGTCCGGTCCCGACCCGGTCCAGATCCAGCGCAGCATACTGGACGAGCAGGTGGAGCTGTGGTGGTTCCGCGACCCGGCAAAGTCTCTGCTGTGCTACTCCGTCGCCGTCCTACTCATCCTGGGCTGCGGCCTGGGGGGCATCCTCCTCCTCTCCACCACTACCAGCTTCTCCAGTGACTGGCGCATGGGAGCGGGCATGGCTCTGTGTCTCTTAGCCCTGGCCGTCCTCCTCAAACAGCTCCTGAGCTCCGCCGTGCAGGACATGAACTGCGTCCGCAGCCGGAGGCGGATCGATATCCTGAAGAGCGGAGGGCTGTCTGATCTGTTAGTGGTTCTCATCACAGGGCTGTGTCTGGTGGTCTGTGGGGCTGTACTGCTGAAGCTGGCACTAGGGCACCACATGCCCAAGCCTGGCGTAGCCCTTAATGATATGTACATCTCTGGGGTGGTGTTGTTAGCTGGAGGGGGGGCAGCGGTGGTGGGGGTGGGGGTGTACACGGGGGTGGTGTTGCTGTTGGAGAGGACGTGGCCGGGACAAAGGTTCAGGGATAGGGCCGTGGGGGTGTTCACTATCTTTGGACGACACATGGACCAGGGTAGGAGGGAGACCACCTCTAGCCTGGCTAACCTCATCTGACCTGACCACCAGAGACATCGGATGGGATAGGTAGCCCAGACAGCAGATAACCGCAACACTCATATGGCCCAGATCCTATCCATATGTGGGCACTGGGGGAGGGTTGGAGCTTATTGGCCAGCTCTGGCTTGAGGTATGTGGGCTTGTAGTTGCTCGGCCCCATTTGGTCTGAACGTGGGCCACATCCACCTTGCTGTCAGGGAGGGAACAATGGACATCACACGTGAGAATGGCATTTGAGCAAAGTGGCCATCTGGGAAAGCCACTTTGGTATGAATTGTTGCTTACCACATCATCCCTATGAGTCTTTGAGCAACTAAGTATCAATTCAATTTTGCAGGTCCATGAATTGCCATATGGAATAGAGAGCTGTGTCTACACAACCCATCCTATTTGTATGATTCAAGCATGGGCCATCCTTGGATTATTACTTTTATGAGATGGAGCCCCAGCAGAGCACTACTCTTTAATGTGAAATGAACAGAATGACAGTGACACTGCACAGACACTGGTCCCGGACACAGAACAAAGATTAAGATTCATAACGTGTCTAATGTAATTGTATCATCCACTACAAAGCAGTAGGTGAAAAAGCTGCTGTAAGGAATAATCATATCATAGAATAAATGTCCTCTGTAGCTCAATTGGTAGAGCATGGCGCTTATAACGCCAGGGTAGTGGGTTCGATCCCCGGGACCACCCATACCTAAAAATGTATGCACACATCACTGTAAGTCGCTTTGGATAAAAGCGTCTGCTAAATGGCATATTATATTATATTATTATTATATTATAATTATATTATAAATGTAAACAGACTATTGTACTGCACTTTATCTCCAAACTAAATCAAACAAAGTGATTTCCTGATGTCACATTTTGTCACCTTTTCATGTCACAGGTTTACAGCTGTGTTGGGTAGTCAAAGGCCTCCATAACAAGCTGTGTCATCGCTCACTTTGCCTTGCAACTCTACGAAGAATCTGAGGAGAATGTCATTGTCGCCTGGTTGAATGGTACAATATGGTTTTAATTGAACAAAGCATCTGTGTGTTTGCGTGCGTGCGCGTGTGTCTGGCCCTCGTACCTCTTATCAGGCAGCGCATGTGAGCTGCCTGTCGCTCAGAGACAATAGGGGTCACTGAGGCGGCCAATGTTGTTGTACTGACGGCCGGCCAGGCCAATGGACAATGGACAGGCTGTGGATCGTAAGGGGTTGGCATCGCCCAGTACGGCTTGCCCTTACCACCCTCTAACACACACACACACAGCAGTGGCAGTGACTGTGCCAGTAATCCCTCATTGACAAGGGACTGTTCTCTGACCTGAAGTCTCTCTCTGTCTCTGCTGTGCAATGCTATGCAGGACATGCTGTCTAGGTGGTGGTGCCAAGTAAGTTTGAGCATGCATGACAGAGAGTGCGAGAGACGACAGCCATGAAACAGTGGTGGGAGGAAAAACAGTGCAGTAGGGCGACACGAGAGAAACCAGACGAGAAAGAGAAAGAGAGACAGAGCTGGAGGTTTAGACCTTTGGTTTAAATGTCTAGCAGCTAGCTTTTCTCATAGGCATACCTGGCACAATTAGCCGTCTGGCTACCATGAGTCATTTATATACAGAACAAAAATAGAAACGCAACATGTAAAGTGATGGTCCCATGTTTCATGAGCTGAAATAAAATATCCCAGAAATGTTCCATACGCACAGAAAGCTTATTTCTCTCAAAGTTTGTGTACAAATTTGTTTACATACCTGTTAGTGAGCATTTCTCCTTTGCCAAGATAATCCATCCACCTGACAGGTGTGGCATATCAAGAAGCTGATTAAACAGCATGATCATTACACAGGTGCACCTTGTGCTGGGGACAATAAAAGGCCACTCTAAAATATGCAGTTTTGTCACACAACACAATGCCACAGATGCCTCAAGTTTTGAGGGAGCGTGCAATTGGCATGCTGACTGTAGGAATGTCCACCAGAGATGTTACCAGATAATGTTATGTTCATTTCTCTACCATAAGCCACCTCCAAAGTTGTTTTAGAGAATTTGGCAGTACGTCCAACTGGCCTTACAACCGCAGACCACGTGTAACCACGCCAGCCCAGGACCTCCACATCCGGCTTCTTCATCTGCGGGATCGTCTGAGACCAGCCACCCGGACAGCTGATGAAACTGTGGGTTTTCACAACCGAAGAATTTCTGCACAAACTGTCAGAAACGGTCTCAGGGAAGCTCATCTGCATGCTCGTTGTCCTCACCAGGGTCTTGACCTGACTGCAGTTCAGCGTCGTAGCCGACTTCAGTTGGCAAATGCTCACCTTCGATGGCCACTGGCACGCTGGAGAAGTGTGCTCTTCACGGATGAATCCCGGTTTCAACTGTACTGGGCAGATGTCGTCGTGTGGGCGAGTGGTTTGCTGATGTCAACATTGTGAACAGAGTGCCCCTTGGTGGGGTTATGGTATGGGGCAGGCATAACCTACGGACAACAAACACAATTGCATTTTATCGATGGCAATTTGAATGCACAGAGATACCGTGACGAGATCCTGAGGTCCATTGTCGTGCCATTCATCCGCCGCCATCACCTCATGTTTCAGCATGATAATGCACTGCCCCATGTCGTAAGGATCTGTACACAATTCCTGGAAGCTGAAAATGTCCCAGTTCTTCCAGGCCTGCATTCTCACCAGACATGTGAGCATGTTTGGGATGCTCTGGATCGATGCATACGACAGTATGTTCCAGTTCCCGCCAATATCCAGCAACTTCGCACAGCCATTGAAGCGGAGTGGGACAACATTCAACAGGCCGCAATCAACAGCCTGATCAACTCTATGCAAAGGAGATGTGTTGTGCTGCATGAGTCAAATGGTGGTCACATCAGATACTGACTGTTTTTCTGATCCATGCCCCTACCTTTTTTTTTTAAGGTACAGTTTCTGTGACCAACAGATGCATATCTGTATTCCCAGTCATGTGAAATCCATAGATTAGGGCCTAATGAATTAATATGAATTGACTGATTTCCTTATATGAACTGTAACTCAGTAAAATCTTTGAAATTGTTGCATGTTGCATTTATATTTTTGTTCAGTATACGTTCGGTAACAAAATAAAGAATCTTAAATGGTAGAGCCACCACCCAATTGCATTTCTTAAACTAGGTCAATTTGGCCACCAGAGGGAGATTTGAAAAGTGCCAACTTAAAGGTTTAGGTTGTTCCCCTTGGTCTGTAACAAGTAAAGTGTGCCAATATTTGCATGATGCATCCTTGACTAGGCTACGTACGTTAGAATTTTTTTCCAAAAGACACGTTTTCTCATATATGACCAAATTAAACATTTTTGCCTATCCGTTTCACACACATCCATGTGTAAAAAAAAAGATGGTGGTTTTGTCAAATACTGTACCTCTATTTTATGCTTTCACTGACTGGTGGTGTAATATGATTATTAGGCCCTTGCAGTGTGTTTGTCTACAAGGCTGAAGACGTAGCTCCTTATTAAATTAATTCTTAATCTTAATTTTCAAGATGTCTGCTCTTCTCGTCTCAACACACTAACACAATAAATGTAATTCTACATTTCAAAGGGATTTTTTTTAAATGTGGGATTCGAACCTTTGCTGCAAACTGGGTCAACTATCAGGAGGTAGGTTTCCTACCCTGTGAGATATTTGACCAGTCACACATATGTGATCTTCTTTGACAGAAATGCCGTTGGACTTGTGTTAAAGGGATAGTTTGGGATTTTTCAATGAGGCCCTTTATCTACTTCCCCAGAGTCAGATGAACTCGTGGATACCATGTTTATGTCTATGTGGGCAGTTTGAAGGAAGTTGCTATCTAGCGTTTGCGCAATTGCTAACTAGTTTTAGCTGTTCCTGTAGATTTCCGGTCATTGTGCTAAGCTAGTTAGCATTTTCTTGCAAAACTATCTCTAACTTCATACTGGACGCAGATACGTAAAAATTGTATCCACAAGTTCATCTGACCCTGGGGAAGTAGATAATAGGCTTCATTACCAAAATTGCGAACTACCCCTTTAAGGACGCTTTTATGAAAAAGTGTTGGATCACGTCAAACTATGTCGACAATTTGAATTGGCTGATACGGAATTTGTTACCGGACATAATCATGCTGCTCAGCTGGTCATACTTAGCATAGTGGCTAATTGTGCCAGATTTGCCTATGAGAAAAGCTAATACCTAAAAAAACAGAAAGGAAAACGCTGCACACTGCTGCTCATGCTCCCAGGTGATATTTATTTATAACGTTTCGACCCTTAGGTCTTTATCAGGCATCCTACAGGTCGAAGACCTAAGGGTCGAAATGTTGTTATAAATAAATATCACCTGGGAGCATGAGCAGCAGTGTGCAGCGTTTTCCTTTCTGTTTTTCATGAGTTTTCCTACAACTCCAGCACCTGCGGAAAGTACCTGTATGTGCGTATGTTCTTCAGCTTTTGTACAAAAGCTAATACCTAGCCATTTTAAACCAAAGGTCTAAACCTCGGTTTAAGCAACAGTTCATGACTATAGACCCAGGAGGTTCAGCTCGTCTGTCCTTATCTTTCATTTGATAACATACAAATCTCAGAGATGAAAATAACCAGAAGAGAAGATACAAAGTCATTTATTTATTTATACATAGGTCCCTTTGTCTCCCATTGACTTACATATGGTTAATAAATAAGATAGAGAGATTGAAAAACACATGTACTGATCATTAAAACCCCACTGGAGAGAATATCTGAAAGAAAATCGTCATATTTGTCCTGTTCCTCATAAACAACTATTTTACAATGAAAGTGTAATACGGGATTTCATACAGTAGGCCTACACACAGCAAACGCATGCACACAACAAATTGACTAGCGTCTGGTCTGGGCTGAACCTATTCCTCTGGCAGAGACCCAAGGATGATATGAGGGGTGGTGCTCAACAGGCTACAGTAACCATACCAACCAACACCTGCTTTGGAAAAGTTGGGTGTTTTTTTGGTGGAGAAAGAGAGAAAAATAAATATAAAAACAGTAATTTTAACACATTTTGGCATACAATAGCCAGGCAAGGTCCTGTTCATACTGGTCCACCTGTATTTCTTCAAGTTTCTTTCTTTCTTTCATGTATTTTTCTCAAGTCATCTGTGCCGCCAGATAGATAAACTACTTCATTGTCAGTAAACCTAAAAAAAAAAATTATCCTTCAGTCTTTTCCATATAGTTGTAAGCTGAGTGCAAATACAAAGATGGCGACTGTGATGACAATATTGTTTATTTTGTATTATTTAGTAATCATTGATCTGACCAGCTCGGTGTTCATTTCATTAGACTGAATGCGCTTACAGAAATGACCCCAGATAACATCAACTGATACCCACACCAGCCAGATATCATTTTATATCAGTGTTTCAATGTTCACAGACTTTCTACCATGTCTCACACACTGAATTCTTACGGTAAATAAAAGACACTATGCCTTGAGAATAAACAAAGTATAACAATTTTACAACAAGACCAATAGGAAACCCCTACATTCATTATTCTATAAACTGATAAAACATGTCTCCAGATGCTATAAAACAGCAAAGGTCAAAGGTGACATCAGTCGAGTTCTGAAGGGAAACTATGATAAGATCTCAATTGCATTCTCCTCTCCTCGTCTCCTTCTCAAAACCCTTTGGAGGAGAAGGTCAGAGGGGTGGGACCTCTGGCTTTCTCATCCAATGGGTTTTGAGAAGGAGACGAGGAGCGAGGACGTGAGGAGTATGCAATTGAGATCGTCACAGAGTCTTTAAGGTACTCATGTCTGCAGATCGGGGCAAGATGGATGCCTGGTCCTTTTGGAGAGTGGTGAAAGTTGCTACCCTTTCCTTGTCCTCTGTTGTCCCTCACTCCCAGGGAGCCAGAGAGAGAGAGGGGGAGGGAGTGAAGATCCATTCGTCTGGCAGCAGGCTTGCCCTTAGTTTGTCCGGAGTTGGTAATCTGCCAAAAGAGGGAGATGTAACAGTAATACATTAACACTGTTCTATGCATCATCACTTTGCCCCTGTACTGTGGCGATCACATTAACGTTCAAATTAGCGCTGTTAGCGTCTAAACCCACAAAACTGGGGCTTGGGGTGACTGTAACTTCTGCCGAGTCCCCAACAACCGAATGTTCAGGTTTTCAGGGGAAATGAAAAGAGAGCCTTTGACACGACTTCTGCTTTTGGACGTTAACATTTACATTTACATTTACGTAATTTAGCAGACGCTCTTATCCAGAGCGACTTACAAATTGGTGCATTCACCTTATAGCCAGTATAGCCACCTTACAATTTTTTTGGTGGGGTAAGGTGGGGGGGGGGGGGTGGTAGAAGGATTACTTTATCCTATCCCAGGTATTCCTTAAAGAGGTGGAGTTTCAAATGTCTCCGGAAGGTGGTGAGTGACTCCGCTGTCCTGGCGTCGTGAGGGAGCTTGTTCCACCATTGAGGTGCCAGAGCAGCGAACAGTTTTGACTGGGCTGAGCGGGAACTGTGCTTCCGCAGAAGTAGGGGAGCCAGCAGGCCAGAGGTGGATGAACACAATGCCCTCGTTTGGGTGTAGGGACTGATCAGAGCCTGAAGGTACGGAGGTGCCGTTCCCCTCACAGCTCCGTAGGCAAGCACCATGGTCTTGTAGCAGATGCGAGCTTCAACTGGAAGCCAGTGGAGTGTGCGGAGGAGCGGGGTGACGTGAGAGAACTTGGGAAGGTTGAACACCAGACGGGCTGCGGCATTCTGGATGAGTTGTAGGGGTTTAATGGCACAGGCAGGGAGCCCAGCCAACAGCGAGTTGCAGTAATCCAGACGTGAGATGACAAGTGCCTGGATTAGGACCTGTGCCGCTTCCTGTGTTAACAAGGCGACACTCCATCTTAACTCCTCATCCACATTTATTGGATTGGTTGAACAGTGCAGAATAGAACCTCCCCCTACAGTTTTTTTCCTTCTCGTCAAGACCATTATGTAGGGGATCTAGTTTCATGCGTTTGCTACGTTAGGTTAGAGTGACTGTGATCACATTGGGGTCAGTGGAGCAGTTATAATGGCATTACAATAACTGCTTAGAACTCACTTATGAATAAGTCAACACTGCCAGTGTAAGGTATCTGAGTGTGGTGCGCTACTCTCTCTCTCTCTATCCCCCTCTCTATCTATCTATCCCCCTATCTATCTATCTATCTATCTATCTATCTATCTATCTATCTATCTATCTATCTATCTATCTATCTATCTATCTATCTATCTATCTATCTATCTATCTATCTATCTATCTATCTATCTATCTATCTATCTATCTATCTATCTATCTATCTATCCCTCTCTACATCTCTCTCCCTTCCTCTCACTCTCTCTCCATCTCTCTCTCTACCTCTGCTGATTACAGTGGAAAGGTTATAGTCACCTTGGCATGCAGAGCCAAGTGACATGGAGAACCTAATGGTACCAAGGCATAATTAAAATCCCCCTTGCCCCAGCTTTATAAGGAGAGAGGTAATGGATATGAAAGCTGGGTTCACTGCAGGGCCGTATGGTGTTGAGATAAAGGGTGTGTGTGTTTCTGTGTGTGTGTGTGTGTGTGTGTGTGTGTGTGTGTGTGTTTCTGTGTGTATCTCACCTCCACTCTGTGTTATGTAACGCACCCACGGTAACGCCTGATAGCCGCTCTTCTCAATGATCTTAAGATAGCGTACCTGAGGAGGAGCAAAGGACAGTTACAAAAAACACAGACACACACACACCAGAAAACATACATACTGGTGAGTCTGCTCCTTCCAGCCTGTATGCATTATTCAATGGAACTCATGTGTGGCTCTACAAGGGTTCACGTTAACAGAGATAAATGGGATCTATTAACAGCAATAAATAGGATATGTTAACTTACCTGGATACCAGATACAGTGAAATAGGGGATCTCAAAGTTGACAGTGATGGGCCTCTTCCCCTCCAACTCATCACTCTCCACACTAGGCAGCCCAAAGTGAGCCCTCATCAGGTACTCCTTGCCTCCCTACACAAACAAACACACACACAAACGTATGACTTTTATTGGGAAATCTGTGGCATTTCTCTTCTGTAGGGTTCTTTGTAACATACCTGATCTTATCACAACAAAACTAGCTAGGCTATGCATTCATATACTTGTAAAACTCTCCTCACACCTGCACTGGTGCAGGATATATCAACAGTGCACAGGACTTCCTTGTTGAATAAAGGTTAGGTAAACAACTAAAGAGGTGACTTGGATGTCGTTGGTCACACATTAAACCCATTCCCCTACCACACACATCACTATAACACCACTACACAGTTATTAAAACTGTCCATGCGGCTCTGTTGTTTCTCAAAGCCAGGAAGGATGTGGGTTTACAGCAGCAGAGAGAGTTGACAAAGTCATGCTGAATATAATGTTAATAGTCAGGCCATGGGGTTGAGTGCAGTATCCTTATCGGTCTTTATCAATATGAAGTGTTGGGGCATTTATATTTCCTCTAACAAGCCGTTATCAGACATTACTTGGCTAACCTCCCCTGGGTTCGTCTGGTGGCTGTGTAAAAACATGTTATCTATAAGAAATGTGCTGCTTCCTGTAGGAATAATGTATGTACTGCCTTCAGAGAATGGTAGGACAAGACTCTATTTTTACAGTTTAGATACCATTTAGTCAATAATTACCCATAGGGTCGTTCCACCTCAAAAAGCTCAAGAAAGAAAATAATGTTAGCGTTCCTGCAACATTATTTTGTTAAAATATAATTTGATCTCTGAGAAATTAAGCTAATTGATTGCATCCAAATTTTTACCAGAATGTTAAAGGAATAGTTCACCCAATTTACAAAATTACATTGGTTTCCTTACCCTTTAAGCAGTCTATTGACAATGTATGAAAGCAACCCATGCTTTGGTTTTGTTGGCCACGCTAACTTTTTAGCATTTGTAGCACAAATCCAATGCAAGTCAATGGTACCTATATATCAGTATTTTCACGCTTCATGTTTAAATCATCCTAAAGTATCTAAAAAATAACTCAATGATGTTACTTATAGATTATTTGGATTTGAGGTGCGAAAATGCTAACAGTCCGAGCCACAGCTCCATACAACTTGTCAGACATAGAGAACTGATGCTGTATACTCGTTGTTGGGTTGGGATTGGCGTGGGGTGTGGGGGGTCCATAGGTAGCTTTTGACCATTTCTTTGGATTCCTCATGTCTTACTCATTTTTAGATACAAGTTAGGTCCAAATCGAATGTAAGGTACTATATTTATTGAATATTATATTAATCCTATAAATTAACATGGCCAATTGGGGTGCAATCAATTATCTTAATTTCTCAGAGATCAAATTATATTTCAACAAAATAATGTTGCAGGAATGCTAATCTTATCTGTTTCTAACTATAGAAACGATTTCAGAACAATCTGAGATGGTGGGTGTGATGGCTTGCTGAAATGACATGGAATGACCACATAGCATGATAATGAAGAGTACAACTGTTGTATAGCCCTTGTATTACTCTTGTGTGAGGAAGGATTTAACAAATAGCATCTAAAACACATTGTTACTGTTACAATAGCTATGATAATAGCAGAGGATGCATTGACTGCCATCTGCAATAGGTTATTAGCATAGTAATGTTTAATTTATCTCAGTGACATTAGCTGTGCTGTACACGTAGGCTACTTACAGGGAAGGACTTGATGTTCCACTGCACCACGCTCTTCTCGGGAAGATACTTGCAGCTGCCTGTGCTCGTCTTGAATTTAGGCGAGTCGGCATCGCTGGGCACGGGTACCATGATGGCCACGTTGTTGGCAGTGGAGCGGCTCTTAAACTGACTCCTGGCCTGCAGGGTGGAGGTGAAAAGGCAAGGGTCACAGGGCTACCGACAGAGACGTGCAGTGACGGAAAAAGGGGGGGCAATTTATGGGGTATAACCCGCTTTTTACAATACAGTGATGATGACAGTCATGAGGAAAGAAACACAGTCATGGACATGGAACAGAGGCTATTGTATGAAGACTTCCTGTTCAATTATTAACTTGCTAAGAGTTTAAGGTTGAGGAAACAGTCCCAACCCAAAGGTTTTTGCACATTGAAGCAAAAATGGAAACATAACATGGATCTGGGTCTATGTACTTAAGAGATTAAGCCTGGTCTATGTACTACTTAAGAGAGGTCAGTGTTGGAGCTATGGTGAAACACAATAGATGTTGACAGTTTGACAGTGAATGATGGTGGACATCCTTTACCTTAACCTTGATCTCAACTCGGCTGTGGGAGAACTTCTCAATCACACTCTCAATCCATATAAGAGGCTTCACCTGTCTCAGAAAGGCCAGAAGAGGAGAGGAGAGAGAGAAGGTCATCAGGTTAACATTGGGCAAGGGAGGGGTGTGTGTGTGTGCATGTGTGTGTGTGTGTGTCTGTCACTGACCGTGGTGTTGAGGCGGTAGGACATGAGCTCACTCTCTCCGTCCGGGGGGATGAAGGAGATGGTGCGGTCGTTTTCGAAGCGAGACAGACGGACACACTGATGGAACTTGACATCCTCCAGCTCTACCGTCTTACTCTTCTCTCCTGATATGACACACAGGCAAGGAGGGGGTTATTGTAAGGCTATGTCCTAATACAGCCAACTCCTGAGAAGTGCACATTGGATAAGTGCAAAAATCTCAATAGCAGTCCATAGCAGTTCACCAGTCCCAGTTAAAATACTGTACATTCTGTACACCTTATTTGCCTCGGATACTAAATGAAAAATGCTCATCTCCTGTATGTTCCACTGTCATCCTTCCCGAACTGAAAACACACAGTGACACTGTACACACCACTGTTTCTTCTTCATAAGTAATAATAATACTTTATAAAGAGTTCAATCAATCAGCTCTTACAAGAGAAGGTTTTGGAAGACCACTCTCTTCAGTAGTGGATGTGGATGTGTACTGTAGTGAGAAAGCCTAATGTTCTTGTTGTTTTCCAGAGTAAATGGTCCAGCAGAGCTGCTGTTAAAAGCTCTTATAATGAATCTGGGACGCTGGGCTTTCTCTTAAATCCCCCCATGAACCTAGACTGAATAACCCTGTCCACACCAATGACAGTATATAAATGGACAGCCATCGATGGATGCACGTGACACCATCCATTCCTATGTGAAGACTCAATAGTGCATTGAAGCCAAATGACGTCGGTTAAGAGCCATCTTATGGATACATAAAGTGTGTGTGTGTGTGTGACATTTCTCAGAAAAGCCCCCTCCTCCAGGGAGAGCTACAACACAGAGTCTAGTCTTTGGAGATGAGAGACCTATTAGACAGCTCAAATCCCAGCAGGTAAGCCCTTTTAGCACTGGTCCGCTACATGATGTCCCTTGTTGCATCATCACTGAGTGACTGTGGAAAGGTGAAAAAGGAGGCACAGTCCTTTATGTTTTGGCTCTAAGGGGGTGTAGAGAGAGCGAGGTACCAGATGTAGCAGGGTTTAGGTTTATTCACACAGTCCCCTGTGGTTCACCTGAAAGGCTGTGCTATCTCCCTAACGAGGCAACATATCACTCATGTATCCATATCAGATATGAATCCTGCGTTTGATTTGTCAATTTGATCTGTTTCACCTCTCACATCTCATATCTCTCAAAATCGACTTAAAATCTCTTCCTGTAGGCGTTAAGCTCATGTGCCTTGATTTCCCTGCAATTTTCATCTGTATGATTTCCTCATACCCAGATTTTACTGTCCTCACTCTCCTGTCTCTTCCACAAACTGTATGTAGTAACATTTACAGGCTCTGACCAGAAGAGGGTGATGTTTAACCCATGTCTGTTCACACGTAGAAAGCCAGTCACAACAGTAAACGTGACTTCACTTAGAAAAAAATGCTTATTAGTAATCAAACACACAAACATTTGTGGTTGAAAGTTACTTTAGGATTGCTGTGGGGTGACCCTTGAAAGGCATCCATACATATGACATGTACAGACACGGATCAGTAAACATACAAATAAGAAAGATATTAAAGTGTATGCCTCCTCCTCTGATTATGGTACAATAGGGAGCATGCAGAAGGCCATTTTAAATTCTCATGTTTATCTATTCATTATTTGTAGGAGTAGTTTTCCTTTTCTGTTCCAGACATCCCACTCCACTTCCAGTCCGTGGGCAGCATGCACATGAGAGGAGCCGTCCAGGGGGCATCTTTCATCTCCCGACAGCAACAGTAGCCTGGGGGAGGGATTAGCACTGGGGCTAGACCAAGGAAGAGTAATCCACCAGACGCCCCACAAAGGGCACATGAGGGGTGAGAGGGGGGACTGGGGCGGTGAAGGTGGAGGGGTGGAGGTAGGGAAGGGGAGTGGAGGCAGGGGGCAAGGGGGTGAGTTGGGCAGGATTGGGAGCACACAGATATTTAAGGGTGAGGATTTGGGCATGGGAGTGGAAGATAATTGTCCATGTTACCGATATTATGACCATCTCTCTCCAGGGCTGAAGAGTCTAATTATTTGGGTTGGGTATAATAGTCTTTACCTCTTGGTGTGCATTTACATACTTGTAGGAGTGTGTTTGTACAGTTTGTGTACTTGTGGGAGTGTGTTGTGTGTGTGTGCACTGTAACGGAAAACGGTTATTTATATGGTATTTTGGGGTATTATCAACAGTAAAATACTGTGAAACGTTTTACTGCAGCATCCTGGAAATGATGGTGCATTGTGCAAATATTTTGTGGGCGGAGAAAGAATTGCTGTATTTGGAATGATACAGTAATTCCATCCATTTACATTTACATTTTAGTCATTTAGCAGACGCTCTTATCCAGAGCGACTTACAGTTAGTGAGTGCATACATTTTCATACTGCCCCCCCTGTGGGAAACGAACCCACAACCCTGGCGTTGCAAGCGCCATGCTCTACCAACTGCTACAGGGGACTATCCCACAGAATACAGTCCCGTACCATATTTTTGGAGTGCCAAAAACCTTTTGACCACTAGTGGGTGCATGGTATTGTTGTTTCTGGCTCATTAACATACAGTATTTTGAGGCGTGCCTTGTAAGAGGCTACATTTGTTGCACCTGTTAGTGAGAATGCTGTACCAATTTAACTGGTCTGTGGTAGTAGTGACCCATCAATGTAAAATGTATAGGGGACAGATAGGAGTGTCAGCAAGTGTTAAACCTAAAATGGTTGAGCATTTTGCCATGTCCTTTTGGTCTGTTTTGCCCTGTAGTAGCTGCCAGTTTGGAAGCCTTTGTTAAGGCCTCTAGAAGTGCACGTGATATAAGACACATTACCTATCAGCCAACCTGCTTGCACCATTTCCATGTAACAGTAAAATACAAACACCATCTCCCCTCAATGAATTTAATTCATCCATCCATTAATTACGAATACAGTAGTTAACATAACAACGTTTTTTTTCAGTATAATACAGCCAATTCTTCAATATTGTAGTGTGTGTCATTAAACAGTACTTGATTTGAAACCAAATATATATTACAATATGTGTACTGCAACATGAAATGCCTCTTCGCTGCCTGTAAGTTACTGTCAAATTCACGGCAACCCCTTACAGTGTGTGTGTGTGTGTGTGTGTGTGTGTGTGTGTACATTATACTGCATGTGTTTTTACTCACTTCCTGTGATCTCGAAGAGCACTTTGTCGTTGAGTCCCAGTCTGAGCTCTGGCATTCCAGACAGAACCACTTTGAGCTTGATGCTGCCCACAATCTCACTACGCAGGACACTGCCGGTCGCACTTACCTAGCACAGGGAGACATACAGGGAGGGTTACATTAAAGGGCAGCTGAACTAAAAAAGAAACGTATCTGGTTGAAAACGGACTATGTTGCATCGATATTAGTCAGAAACGTTGATTCAAGTGTACAAATTTACTACAAAGGGTAATAGCATAATTTGTCATAAAGTCAGCATCTTCCAAAACGGAGATTAGCGAAATTTCCTAAATCCATAGGATATTTGAGGGTGTCACGCCCTGGCTCTAGGGACTCTTTTATGTTGAGCCAGGGTGTGTAGTGTCTATGTGTTGTGTTCTATGTTCACAATCTAGTTTATGTGTTTCTATGTTGGCCGGGGTGGTTCTCAATCAGAGGCAACGTGAATCAGCTGTTGCTTGTTGTCTCTGATTGGGAACCATACTTAGGCAGCCTATTGTGCAATTGTCTTTTGTGGGATCTTGTTCCGTGTAGGTTTGTGTTATTGACCGAGGACTTCACGTATCGTTTTGTGTTGTAATTAAAAGTACCTATTAAAGTATGTACTCATATCACGCTGCGCCTTGGTCCGCTCATTATGACGTTCGTGACAGAAGATCCCACCAATACTGGACCAAGCAGCGTGTCCAGGAGCACACGCAGGAGGTAACGTTAGTGGATGTCCTCCTCGGTTGGGGGCAGATTACGGAGGAGGAGGCCGTCCGTTACCGGAGGGCGATGAAAGGGGAGACCCAGGCAGGAGAGGAGAAGCGGCGCCAACCGGGTCGTCGTCGGACAGGCGAGAGGCACCCCCAATAATTTTTTTTGGGGGGGGGCACATGGCATGGACGACGGGGCTGCTGGAGGCAGATAAAGGGCGAGTTTGTAAAGGGCGAGTTTGTGGACATGGAGAGAAGGCCACCAGGTTACGGGGGCCATTGGTCATTAGAGGGAAGGAAAGTGTAGAGGCACGGCGAGAGGTACTGAAGTGTGTTACCAGTCCGGTCCGTTCCTGATCCCCGTATAAGGCCAGGGGTGTGTGTTCGCAGTGCGGTCCGGCCTGTTCCTGTCCCTCGCACCAAGCCTGTGATGCACGTTGCCAGCCCGGCCCGGCCTGTTCCTTTCCCTCGCACCAAGCCAATGGTGCGCGTCGTCAGCCCGGCCCGGCCTGTTCCTGCCCCTCACGCCAAGCCAATGGTGCGCGTCGCCAGCCCGGCCCGGCCTGTTCCTGCCCCTCGCACCAAGCCAATGGTGCGCGTCGCCAGCCCGGCCCGGCCTGTTCCTGCTCCCCGCACCAGGCCAGTGGTGCGCTTCGTCAGCCCGGTCCGGTCCATTCCTGCTCCCCGCACCAAGCCTGTGGTGCGCATCGTCAGCCCGGTCCGGCCCGTTCCTGCTCCCCGCACCAAGCCAGGGGTGCGCGTCGTCAGCCCGGTCCGGCCCATTCCTGCTCCCCGCACCAAGCCTGTGGTGCGCGTCGTCAGTCCGGCACAGCCCGTGCCCGTTTCACCGGTGCCTGGTCAGGTACCGGTCAGCTGCTCCACACCGGAGCCTAAGCAATCCGCTCCACCGATGTCCAGTCCAGCTCCAGCCAGCGGGACCAGACCAGGGGCGCTACGGGGGGGTTGTTAGAGGGTGGTGGTCACGCCCGGAGCCGGATCCGCCTCCGAGGAGGAATGCCCACCCGGCCCCTCCCCTGTTAGGTTCATGTTGGCGCGGTCGCAGTCCGCGCCTTTGGGGGGGGGGGGGGGGGGGGGGGGGGGGTACTGTCACGCCCTGGCTCTAGGGACTCTTTTATGTTGAGCCAGGGTGTATAGTGTCTATGTGTTGTGTTCTATGTTCACGATCTAGTTTATGTGTTTCTATGTTGGCCGGGGTGGTTCTCAATCAGAGGCAACGTGAATCAGCTGTTGCTTGTTGTCTCTGATTGGGAACCATACTTAGGCAGCCTATTGTGCAATTGTCTTTTGTGGGATCTTGTTCCGTGTAGGTTTGTGTTATTGACCGAGGACTTCACGTATCGTTTTGTTGTTTTGTGTTGTAATTAAAAATACCTATTAAAGTATGTACTCATATCACGCAGCGCCTTGGTCCGCTCATTATGACGTTCGTGACAGAGGGTTGGGTTTTGATTTCAATCATGCTCACTAACACTCTGGGGAAAGCCAGCTATCTAGTTAAATGTGGCATTAGAGGCCCATCAGACATGCTCATCCTTACAATCAGTCAGTTATTAGCCAGTTATTAGTCTCTGTCTGACTCTGACCCCTGGGATACATAAAATGGGCTCAGGGGGCTGGTTAGGTGTCAGACAAAAGGGCCGTGGTGTAACAACGTTACCACAGAAACCGGAGGATTGTTGTAAGAAAGGAAATCTGAAATAATTTCCTCACATTTTCTATTCAAGGATGTTGGAGAATGGTGTCTGGAAGCTTCTCTGACACACTGCTGAGTAATACTGTAAACCTGACCTGGTTTCTTGGTCTGTTCATTGCAAATGGTTATATACATATATCAAATGAATATATACATACAGTACCAGTCAAAAGTTTGGACACAAATACACATTCAAGGGTTTTTCTTAATTTTTACATTGTAAAATAATAGTAAAGACATCAAAACCATGAAATAACACATATGGAATCATGTAGTAACCAAAAAAGTGTTAAACAAATCAACATATATTTTATATTCTTCAATGCCAAGAGTGTGCAAAGTTGTCATCAAGGCAAAGGGTGGCTGCTTTGAAGAATCTAAAATCTAAAATATATTTTGATTTGTTTAACACTTTTTTGGTTACTACATGATTCCATATGTGTTATTTCATAGTTTTCTACAATGTAGAAAATAGTAAAAATAAAGAAAAACCCTTAAATAAGTAGGTGTGTCCAAACTTTGGACTGGTACTGTATATTTGGTTTTGGAGAAAATGTTTAGCTTCTGTAAGTGTAAGAAATATTGCCTTGTGCCTTGTAATTCTGTTACCAAAAAACCCACATATCTTTAAGATATTTTATCATTTCTCTCCCTCATGAGGTGGGAGGATAATGAAAGTTCATAGAATAAACAAGTAATGGTAGACCTAGAAATGAGTTATATGGGGCACAGGGGAACATGCCTCCAGACCACCCCCCAGCCATCCTCATGTACTTTGTGCTCCCTCAGATTTTTGGGGTGCATGGCGCCCCTGGTTAGAGTGATTTTACTTATATCAATTTTGTTTTTGTAAAACTCATAATTCCATTACCAAATTGGTAATGAAATTACCCAAAAATCAGTAACAGAATTACTGCAACTGAATTGGCTACAATGGGAAATCCTAATAGTCACAAACCACAGTTGGGTCACCTGCTACTGTCCTCCCTTCCACTGGCATACTGTTATGTTCAGCTCATAACTGTTTTCTTTCTCTTTCTATTGACTGGTGGTCAAACCGAGTCTGGACATCCCCTCCCTCTCTCGCACCCTCTCTCTTTCTCTCTCTGCCTCCCTCTCTCACTCTCCAGTTAATGTCACCTCTCACAGCTCTTACTGACACCTACCCATGAGCCCCCTCTCTTTCCATTTACTGTAACCAGCATCCTCACCCACTGAGCACCGACCGACACCGGATGTCCATGGACATTGAAAAGTAGTTGAGATTTGTTCAGTCCTTCCTGGCTTTGATGTTAACGTCCACAGACCGACCGGACTAGACCAAATCTGAACCTATTATAGACATATTTTTCACAAGTTTGGATAGCACAGGATAGTACAGTACAGTACAGTTAGTAGAGTACAGTACAATACGCACAGTACTGTACAGTCCAATACATTACATTAGAATACAGAATAGCACAGTACTGTACAGTGAGTAGAGTACAGTCCAAATCAATACAGTACAGTAAAGAAAAGTATAGTATAGTACAGTAGAGTACAGTATATTGGACTGTACTCTACTGTACTGAACTATACTCTACTTTACTGGAGCAGATATTTAACTGAGTATTTGGAAAACATGGTCGCATAAAATTTTGTTACCGTAATTCTGTTACCAAAGTTTGCATCTGCACAGTTCTTCCACTAAATTAGTTTTTGTACATTTTTCAGTGGAAATTGTTAAAAGTAATTGTTGTAAAAAAAAAGTGTTGTTGTAGTAAATTTTACCCCCTTTTTCTTGTCTCATCGCTGCAACTCCCCAACGGGCTCGGGAGAGGCGAAAGACGAGTCATGCGTCTCCGAAACATGACCCGCCAACCCGCGCTTCTTAACACCCGCTCGCTTAACCCGGAAGCCAGCCGCACCAATGTGTCGGAGGAAACACCATTCAACTGATGACCGAAATCAGCCTGCAGGCACCCGGCCCGCCACAAGGAGTCGCTGGAGGAAAGCCACTCCGGCCAAACCCACCCCTAACCCGGACGACGCTGGGCCAATTGTGCGCCGCCCTATGGGACTCCCGGTCACGGCCGGTAATGACACAGCCTGGGATCACACCCCAAGCTGTAGTGATGCCGCAACACTGCGATGCAGTGCCTTAGACCGCTGCGCCACTCGGGAGGCCAAATTTGTATGGTTTGATAAACTTTGAAATCAATGGTTTTGGTTTGGCCTACATTTTTAAGAGAAAAAACTGAGTCAAAGCATAATTCCATTACCGCAGAATTGTCCTGAACTAGAACACCCTGGCTGCATCCAAAATGGCACTCTATTTCTTAGATAGTGCACTACTTTTGACCAGAGCAAAAACAGTGCACTATTTAGATAATAGAGTGCCATTTCAGCAGGGCCGGCAATAAAATATTGAAATACTGATCATTTATTTGACCGAGACACGCACCGAGAGAAAGAAACATCAATCTCATATAAAGCATCCGAGCGAGCAAAACAGTGGCCTTCTGTCTCAGTATGAGTAGACCATGTATCTGATTCTGTCTGGACAAAAAGACTATGGCACGTCATACTATCTTTTATATTTTGATTTGTCGAACACTATTTTGGTTACTACATGATTCCATATGTGTTATTTCATAGTTTTGATGTCTTCACAATTATTCTACAATGTAGAAAATAGTAAAAATAAAGAAAAACTCTTGAATGAGTAGGTGTGTCCAAACTTTTGACTGGTAGTGTTTGTCAGACTGTTAGAAATCTAATTTGAACAAAAATGGATCTACCCTGTAGGATCTACCCTGGAAACCATGTTTGATGAATTTGTTACCATTCCACTTCACTCATTACCATGAGCCCGTTCTCCCACATTATGGTGCCACCAACCTCCTGTGCAGCACACCTGGAGTTTTCAAAAAGGCACGGGAAAGACTCTGAGAGCATAAGGCAAATGTTTCTGTGGTCTGATGAGACAACAATTTAACTCTTTGGCCTGAATGCAAAGCGCAATGTCCGGATATAACCAGGCACAGCTTCAGAGTGCAAACGACCTTAGACTGGGGCTGTATGCTTGGGGACAATGACCTCAAGCATACAGCCAAAGCAACGCTGAAATGGCTTCAGAACAAGAATGTGAAAGTCCTTGAGTGACCCAGCCAAAGCCCAGACTTGAAAACCATTGAGAATCTGTGGAAAGACTTGAAGATTGCTGTTCACCGCCTCTTCCCATCTAACTTAACAGAGCTTCATAAAATCTATAAGGAAAGATTTTAGAAAATCCCCAAATCCAGATGTGCAAAGCTGATACAGACATACCCAAGACGACTCAAAGCTGTAATTGCCGCCAAAGGTGCTTCTACAAAGTATTGACTTAGGGGTGTGAATACTTATTTAAATTAGATATTTCTGTATTTAATTTTCAATAAATTTGCAAACATTTCTAAAAACATGTTTTCACTTTGTCATTATGGGGTATTGTGTGTAGATGGGTGAAAAAAAAATATATTACATCCATTTTGAATTCAGGCTGTAACACAATAAAATGTGGAATAAGTCAAGGGGTATGAATACTTTCGGAAGGCACTGTAGTACAGTGGTAAATGTATATATAGACCCATGGGGCGGCGCACAATTGGCCCAGCGTCGTCCAGGGTAGGGGAGGGAATGGCCGGCAGGGATGTAGCTCAGTTGGTAGAGCATGGCGTTTGCAACGCCAGGGTTGTGGGTTCGATTCCCACGGTGGGCCAGTATGAAAAAAAAAAAATATATATAATAATAATGTATGCACTCACTAACTGTAAGTCGCTCTGGATAAGAGCGTCTGCTAAATGACTAAAATGTAAAAATGTAATATACAGTAAAGCATAGTAAAGCTATATACAATAAAGGCCTTTTTTTCAGGGGGTGCTGGCTACTTCCTGCAGCTATGGGAAAACCTGGGACTATTTTAGACTTCATAGTCCCAGTTACCCTAGAGCAGTTTTTCTACCACCAACACTACACATTTTTATTGTAACCCTGGACAAGCACACAACTCAACTTTGTCAACTAATCATCAAGCCCTCGATGAGTTGAATGTGTGTTTGTCCAGGGCTACAACGAAAATGTGTACTGTTGGGGTACTGGAGGACTGGAGTTGGGAAACACTGTCCTTGAGACACCACATTATTAAACAGATAAAATAGTCTCAGACTGAAATCATAGTGCAGACCCTCACTAGCACGTTGTGGCTACTGTGTTCGTGGTTCGCCGTCTACTAGGGACCTTGTGATACTACCCATGGTTCATTACAATACATTAGGTGTTTTTACTGAGATTTGAGTGAAAAGCCTCCTCACCAGCAGGTTGACGGACTCGATGACGTCCATGAACACCTCGTTCTTCCTGTACTTGATGCCCTCTGACCTCCAGGACACTGCATTGGTGACGGTGGCGGGGGGGCGAGGGGCGCCCACATCCAGTTTGTGACCCCGCTGGGTGATGTACCTGCAGAGAGAGGGGTTGGGAAGAGAGGGGAGAGGACAGCTTATTCAGAGGAAAAAGAATGCTGTCGTCGCTACCTCCCTTTCCAACTAAGGTTCGAGAACGGAGGAGAAAGCAGAAGAGGATCAGTACAAAGATGTTTGTTTTCTAGATGATATCAATCGTTCTATCTATTCACGATTAATGAAAGAGCTTATGATAAGATACCCCAGAATAGAAAATTAATTTTATTAAACCTCCACTGGAGTAGATAGATTAATTAAAGGATTTGTCTTGGGTTGTGAGCAGGTTAGTCATGGGTGTAATTGGAACAAGGGGGTTTACATTGTGATTCTATTGTGATTGTAACCAAAAGACTAAGACTGCACTAAACTAAAACGCTAAGGCTCAAATCAATGTATTGTACCTGGAGTGCATTTTGTGTGCTCATTTAAAGGTGCAATCTGCAATAGTTAAAAATGATCAAGTTGACGTCAGACTGACAGGCCTTGCACCCATAACTCTGTGAGATTGGTTACATGTGTCTAGCCTCATCCCATTGTGTCTTTAACCACAGTAGACCTTGTATGTCTATTGTCTACTACTGGCTGTACTATCAATACCGTATGCTGCAGTGCTGAGTTGTACAATAGGTAGCGACAGCCCCTGATACTGTACTCAGAGAGGCTTGTTCTCCTCTAGGGAGGTCTGGGTGTCTGGAGGGATGATGTGATGAGACGGGGTGTGGGTAGGAGGGAGATGATACACAGTACCTATGCATACACATGACCCTGTTTATTCCGTAGGTGGAACACCTGCCCCCTGCCTCTACGTCTCCCTGGTGACAGACAGACAGCAACACCATCTACTTCCTCAAATACACATACACACACACACACACACACACACAGTCCTGCCGCCCCGACCTGTAATCCCTCCCGATAGATCTCTCCTCTGCCTGCATCTCTCCCAGCTCTCCCTGTGGTATTGACAGACTGATCCAATCTCCATCATAGATCCTTCTGATGCTTGCAGACTTTCTCTCCTCCACTACCCTTCCCTGGGCTCCTCTGAGAATCCCCTTGTCGCTCAGGTTGAAAGAAGCTAGCATGGCTCAAAATGTGTCTGCACATTGCACAGGCACCGAAAGCTGCCCCTCAAAATTGCCCAACAAATTACATTACACGGGTTTGAATTCACCACTGCACTGACACAGGCCATGGTGACCTCCTATAGTGTTTTATGGTAATCCCACATCAAGCAGGGAGATCATCTCATCTCAATACCTCATCTTGACTCACGGAGAGTGGAAAGAGATGAAAGACAAGTGGAGACAAGTGGGCTTGTTTGGTTGTCGGTGTGTTGGTTTTGGTCCTGATTCTCCTCAGAAATGCTAATGATGTATCCAACAAGAGCATCTGAGTTGGCGGTAAATCGACAGTCATACTACGAAACAAGACACACAAACACACTCCTTCTCTTTCACATACACACACAGGGGAAGACAAGGGAATGGTTGCCAGGCCAGGGCCCGGTTTTCTCAAAAGCATCTTAAGGCTAAGTTCATCGTTAGATCCTTCGTAAAAGCATCTTAACATTTCTGTGCCGTTTCCCAAAACTGTCTTTATTAACATTGCACTTGAAAGCGATCGTAATCTAAGCGCTCATAATCTAAAGACCACTAGAACAGCTAAGTGCGTTGTTAGATCACTGTTTGCCCTCGGCCCCTCCTGAGTCACTTTACACACAGAAGATCTCCGCTAAACATAGAATGAAGATGTTTATTTGTCTCTGTGACCTCTGAAAACGTTATAGTTTAATATAAATAGCCTAAAAAGTTTGCAATGTAATAAACAAGCGAAGCAAGGATATAAAAAAAATATAAAAATGAAAACCGAGATAACCTAATTATATGATAGCTAGATTAGACTACATAATGACATCACTTTCATGTATGTGCAATCGATAGATACCTAGGCTACACCTAGGCTAGACATGAGCTACATTATCTGAAAGCTCAAGCATTTCACTGTAGCTGAACCAATAACTTAAAGGTCAACATATTAGGTATATGGCAATTTGTAGCCTAGGCTAGGCTACTTGATGTTTCATTATTTGATTGTAGAATATCCGTAGTTCTACTTGCAGCTCAATTCCTGCCTGCCATAGGCTACAATGATTTGTTGAGCAATTACAAAAACCATTATCATCATGTCCTATTTTTAGGTCACATTGATATTTTCTAAATAGCGAAAGAGGGAATGAGCGACTTTGACTTTATTCATTCTTGCTCACAGTTTACACAAAAAAATTCAGAATTTAGCCTACATAATCAAACATTGCATACGAAATGTCACGAGAAAACACTTAGAATATATAACACATGGCAAACATATAATACAAACATTTAAATACATTATAGGCTTCTCTTGATGGGAAAACTGTATTGTGTAAAAAATAGATTTAAAAAAAAGATGACTTTGAATACATTTAAGAGCTACAGTGAGCTCTTTAGTCTTTATAGTCTGGAATAATTTTCAGCAAGGGACAGCTCCTGCAACGACACAGTTAAGTTCCACTTTGTAACGAGGACATCGTTGAAACAGTCATAAGCCTAAGTTCCATCGCTATCGGGAAATCGTGCCCAGGTGGGGAGTGTTTTAGGGTAGGGGGGGGGGGGGGGGGATGGAGGAGCGCCGGGATGAGGTGGCGTGGAGGGGTCTCCTTGGCAAAACGAGGAGTAGCAGAGCTCGTCTATCTGGGTCTCGAGTGCAGCCAGCTGACGGTGGCATTGTGTATGTGTCAATGGGAGACAGGCTAGCGATTATCAGCCCTATTCAGGCCCACATTCACAGACAACACACTAAAGGCCTCATCAAAGCTCAGGGCAAAAACACATCTTCATACATCCACATCAGACAGTCACCATATTATCAAAGTAAATCGTCTGTTTTGAGCAATTATAAAAAGACAAAATCATATTATATGTTACAAACAGGCTTTCAATTCAAATGTAAGACAAATTACAAACAGGTAATTAAGCAGACAAAATAGGCCCGTTGCCGTGGTAGCCTGGCCCTAATTAAGTGAACACTGAACCTTCTGCCAGAACATGGCACCTTTCCCAGGGGCAAGTAACAGAACAGGAAAACGAGCTAAACCCTCTGAACCCTGTAGGCTACTGTATACTGTCTGGCATTAGCCTAGATGCTAGTCTTTTTTATCATGAAACGGCAAGCCACCAAGTAGAAAGATGAGTAGACAGAGGTGTTGACTGACTCTGACTCTACTCTTTAGCAGAGAAGAAAACATTAAGTATAAAGTCTTGTTAACAAGCTAAAGTAGGGGTTCCCAAACTTTGTTGGGCCATGACCCCATTTTGATATCTGAACATTTTTGCGACCCCACCAATGTGATAGAAATTATGTAATTAACAGCCAATGTGAACTTTTTTATTTGGGGCTATGTCAGTCAATTGAAAAACATTCTAACAGTATTTCTGATTGTCTTCTCAACTCACCCTCACATACTTTTAATGTGGGGCAGTCAAATTGCAAATTAGTCTGACATAATGTCTCTTATCTCACCACCACTGATGAGATGGGTGTGGCTTGATGCATGTCGCGTCGGAGCTTCTCAAAGTTAGGGGCCGTGGTCAACTGTGCACACCTCATCTCTGCTATCACATCCAATCTGGATCGATATTTGGTTTTAATGCAGACGAGAGCACTGAATCCAGCTTCACACAGATATGAGCTGGCGAAGGGTAGCCTAGGATGAGTTTTATGGTGCTTTCAAGACAACTGTGAACTCTGAAAAATACGAGGTCAAATCATGAAGTCAGTGATCTTTAGGTCGGAAAGTCAGAGCTCTAGAAAGAGGCCAGAGTTCCTGAGTTGGAATTCCGAGTTGGATGACCGTTCAAAACTATTTTTCCCAGTCGGAGTTCCTTTCTGTCCGAGTTCCCAGTTGTCAGAGGGTGACGGCATGGTATTTGCTTTGAGTCAGGAACCAAACCTCCTTCATAGTGAACCGTGAACGCGTTGTCTAGAGCACTCGGTCACATAACAGCTTGATCAGTTGTTCGATTTCATTTACCAGCATGTCAACTGAGCCAGGATCACAGTCAAACGGATTGGGAAGTAGGTCAGTCCCAAAGTGCTCTTCCAGGTGTTGGAGGTGAGCAGTCATCACTTGTGTGGGAAACACTGATGCCGTTTTCTGTTATTTTCTTTTCATTACACAGAAAGTCAACCAAGTCTGATTTTTGATATCCATTGTGAATGACAAAAGGTCCTTTCTCAATGCGAAAAATCTTTCCAACACTCCCCCTCAATAACCACCAAGCCTCGGTGTGAAATAGAACAGTCATGCTCTGATCCCATATCTCTACATAGTTTTGCGAAAAGGCGTGTGCGCATTTGATGTGGTTTGATGTAGTTTACAATTGAAGTTACCTGCTGCAGTATATCTCAGAGTTCTGTGCTCAGCTCTTTTGCCGCCAGTTTCTCTCGGTTTATCATACAATGTGTCCATATGGCACATTCATAACTAGAGTGCAGAGGTCTGCCTGCTGTCCTGTGATAGATGGCGCCCCATCTGTGCAAAAGCTCACCACTCGATCCCATATGGAATCAGTTTTTTGTGAATATAGCTACGCAGCAAACTATGCCGTTTCATGCACGAGAATCGTGAGACTGAACAATATGTCCTCGTGAATAGCATCCCCCAACATGTATAGCGAACAAAAGTCAATGCATGGGCATCTCGGCCCTCACAGCTAACGTCCATTTGGAGAGCATAAGCTGGGGAGTTTTGAGTCGTTCAGTCAGAGTTTCCTCTTGATTGCTAGCAATAGCATAAATTCTTAGGTTAACAGTGCTATCTGACAAAGGTAATATCAAATTCTCTGCAATAGTGTGTGGTTTCATTACGTAGTGGTCCTAGCCATTCAACGTGGGAATGATTCAAGTGCAACGGTCAAGTGCGGCCTTTTCCAATGATCTAAGGGCACTATCTTTAGATTTGAATAATTTTCATTTAGATTTTTATGGTTAACCACATTACAATGATTTTGAGATACAAAAAATATCTTAGTATACAGTTGAAGTCGGAAGTTTACATACACCTTAGCCAAATACATTTAAACTCTGTTTTTCACAATTCCTGACATTTAATCCTAGTAAAAATGCCCTGTCTTAGGTCAGTTAGGATCACCACTTTATTTTAAGAATGTGAAATGTCAGAATAATAGTAGAGAGAATGATTTATTTCATCTTTTATTTCTTTCTTCACATTCCCAGGCGGTCATAAGTTTACATACACTCCATTAGTATTTGGTAGCATTGCCTTTAAATTGTTTCACTTGGGTCAAAAGTTTTGGGTAGCCTTCCACAAGCTTCCCACAATAAGTTGGATGAATTTTGGCCCATTCCTCCTGACAGAGCTGGTGTAACTGAGTCAGGTTTGTAGGCCTCCTTGCTCACACATGATTTTTCAGTTCTTCACACAAATGTTCTATAGGATTGAGGTCAGGGCTTTGTGATGGCCACACCAATACCTTGACTTTGTTGTCCTTAAGCCATTTTGCCACAACTTTGGAAGTATGCTTGGGGTCATTGTCCATTTGGAAGACCCATTTGCGACCAAGCTTTAACTTCCTGACGGATGTCTTGAGATGTTGCTTCAATATATACACATAATTTTCCTTCCTCATGATGCTATCTATTTTGTGAAGTGCATCAGTCCCTCCTGCAGCAAAGCACGCTCACAGCATGATGCTGCCACCCCCATGCTTCACGGTTGGGATGGTGTTCTTCGGCTTGCAAGCTTCCCCTTTTTCCTCCAAACATAACGATGGTCATTATGGCCAAACAGTTCTATTTTTGTTTCATCATCCCAGACATTTCTCCAAAAAGTACGATCTTTGTCCCCATGTGCAGTTGCAAAACATAGTCTGGCTTTTGTATGGCGGTTTTGAAGCAGTGGCTTCTTCCTTGCTGAGCGGCCTTTCAGGTTATGTCGATATAGGACTCGTTTTACTGTGGATAGAGATACTTTTGTACCTGTTTCCTCCAGCATCTTCACAAGGTCCTTTGCTGTTGTTCTGGGATTGATTAGCACTTTCGCACCAAAGTATGTTAATCTCTAGGAGACAGAACATGTCTCCTTCCTGAGCGGTATGACGGCTGCGTGGTCCCATGGTGTTTATACTTGCGTACTATTGTTTGTACAGATGAACGTGGTACCTTCAAGCATTTGGAAATTGCTCCCAAGGATGAACCAGACTTGTGGAGGTCTACAATTATTTTTCTGAGGTCTTGGCTGATTTCATTTTATTTTCCCATGATGTCAAGCAAAGAGGCACTAAGTTTGAAGGTAGGCCTTGAAATACATCCACAGGTACACCTCCAATTGACTCAAATGATGTCAATTAGCCTATCCGAAGCTTCTAAAGCCATGACATCATTTTCTGGAATTTTCCAAGCTGTTTAAAGGCACAGTCAACTTACTGTATATAAACTTCTGACCCACTGTAATTGTGATACAGTGAATTATAAGTGAAATAATCTGTCTGTAAACAATTGTTGGAAAAATTACTTGTGTCATGCACAAAGTAGATGTCCTAACCGACTTGCCAAAACTATAGTTTGTTAACAAGAAATGTGTGGAGTGTTTGAAAAACGAGTTTTAATGACTCCAACCTAAGTGTATGTAAACTTCCGACTTCAACTGCATATATGTTTTTTCTTCAGGATTTTGGAAATTCTCCCGCGAGCCCCATTTTCATATCAGGCGACCCCACTTGGGGTCACAACCCCTAGTTTGGGAACAGCTGAGCTAAGGACTTCAAACCTTATATTGTAGCCTACTCAGCAATATGGTAGTCTGTTCGATGGTAGTCCGTTTGGTAGTCTGTTTTAGTATTGCCCCTGTGTTGCAGTCTAAAATGTCAAGCCAAGCCTTCCAGGCCAGACTGTAGTCTTGACTGACTGTAACTGAGTCCACTACTCACTCTTGCAGGATCTTGCTGTCTGTGGTCTGGGGAAAGCCAAAGTCCATGACCTCGTCCATCAGCTCATACACAGTCACAAAGTTGTCACGGATACTCTCCTCCTCCAGCTCCTTAAAGTACTCCTTAAACACCTACAGACGGACAGACAACTTAATACAAGATCAATACAATACCAGAAGAGTAAGCACAGTGTATTATAGAAGGTATTGTCAGTGAAGCACACACTCACCTCCACTATTTTGTAGAGGAAGGAGTATACCAGAGCAGCATTGGCATTCTTCTTGGTCATTGCCACCACTGAAGAAGGACTATTAAGTATGTACTAAACTGTTGAACAGAAAAGGTACTGTGCCACTGCTGTTTAAAATCTATCAAATGGAACATTTACAGTGAGATGCACAGTTTAAAGTGGCAATCTGCAGTTGCTACATCTATTTTTGGACTTATAAATTAATGATATATACCCATTGATTCTTTAAGAATATAACTTATAAATGCCTCATGACCTTAGTTCAACTGTCGTACCCCATCAGAACCCAAAATATAAGCTTGTTTTACTCCAATGTTTGCAAACAAAGTAAATATAAACGAAAACTAGACAGCCTCAAAACATGGTTAAAACTATCATTTCATATCATGGGATGGTCAGTCCTTGCATCCATAGCTCTGTCTATGAATTTGAGTGGTTACATTTCTCCAGTCCCATCCCTTAGCATTTTACCAGAACAGGGGCGGGGATGACGCTTTTTTATTCTTTCAATGCTGATCGCCCCTTTAAAACAAAACTAAAAAGTTGGCCATATAAAAATCTGAAATTAGGTTTCAGAATCAGACCTTAGTCATTCTGATTCTGTTAGACAACCACCACAACCATCAGTGAGATACAATTGACTCAAATTAGTTGTTCACAGCATTTCCCTCTAGTTGACAATAACCTAAGATACACAGATAAAGGACATATATAGCGTGACTTCCTGAATCTGCATGCATGCAGTGAGGGTGTGAACTGTGAATTGTGTGATACATCTCGTGAGCGAGACAGAAGCTGAGACAGACGGCCTGACTGACTGAGCAGTAACAGGACTTCCTGTTTGGACAGGATACAGTAGAGGTTGCTGTGTTTGATCCACAGGAAGTGTGAGGAGCCGTGGGTCACCAGGGGCGACGTGTCTCCGTCCTCCTCCATCCTCATCATGATGGGCATGAAGTGGTCGATCTCATTCATGTCCAAGTTGCCCATGTAGTTACGACTTATCAACACCTACATGAAAACACATATCACAAAATAGAGGGTGGAGATTTGTAACATGTCTAAGTTGCCCATGTAGTTACGACATATCAACACCTGGCCAATGAGATAACTTGACACAGAGGGCATTGTAACATATTTATGTACATTCATTTTCTATTCAATTCAGTTCATCTTTATTTATATAGGATATTTCACTCAGCAGCAATTCTCACTGGTTTCCAATGAGTCCATAGTGGAAGATCTGCAACAGTTCAAATTCAAAAAGATCAGAAATGGAGCATATGTCCTTCCCCTCGTTGTGACGGCTCAGCAGTAAGTTGTGTAAGATCAGGAAATTGTCTGTCGAACTCTAAATGAAATGGGAAGCTGCCTCTGGCAGGAGGGCCACTGTTAAGAAACAGCAAATAACTGACAACTAACCTGTGATCACAACACCCAATAACTGCATTGTGCAAGATACACTAGAGTGGCCCGAGGGAAGCATCACACACACACACACACACACACACACACACACACACACACACAGAGCTATGTCTTACTATACTTGTGAGGACTTTTTGGGGATCAACAATTGATTCCCATTCAAAATCCTATTTTCCCTAACCATAAACCTAACCAATACCCTAACCTCTAACCATAACTGTAACTCTAAACCTAACTCATAACCCTAAGCCTAAATAGCCTTTTTACAAGTGAGGCCGGTAAAATGTCCTCACTTCTCCGAATTTTAGTTGGTTGACTATTCTGTTGAGGACTTCTGGTACTCACAAGTATAATAAAATGTGTACACACACACACACATACTGACACACACACACAAACAAACACACACTTTAATTTCAACACCAATAACAAGATGAGTCAGCATTGAGAGTCGCTGGGCTGGAGCCATCACACTCTGAAATAAGTGTTGAAAGAGATCAAAGCCTATGCTTGAGGGATCTCACACACTGAAGACATGGCCTACAACCCTCTGTACTAGAGGGGCCTCTGTGCTGGGGAGGTCAGAGGGTAGACTGTGCCGGGGAGGTCAGAGACAACAAAAGAGAAGGAAATAACAAATAAGACAAAGGAAATACCAAAATGAAAACCTCATCACACAGTGAAAGGATATGGACAGGCTCTTTCTCTATAAAGGGATGGTGGAATCCCAGACAGACGGACAGACATTTCAAAGGTTGTTGCATATAAAAAGCAGTGTGCACTTGCAGGAAACAGAAATGCTACCTGAATGTTAAGAACGTAGAGGGAAATTATAGATTTGAGTGTTCACAATTATTACAATTTTGAGAATAAATATGGCTTTGGAGGACATGTTTGGCTTCTGCTTAAAATGTACATTAAACTGCCATTGAGGTTCAAGGAAATAAAAAGTTTAAATATTGTTCAAACCCATTGTCACCAACCCTTCATCATCAACACCTCACCCTCTGTGTTAATGAAACACATGTATCAGAACAGGCCATGGCAAGTTCCTCATTCCTGTTTTAATCCCCAGCCACTGTCTGCGGTCATCCTGAGCTAACAAACCTTTTGTTTTTTGTTAAAACACTTTCTCTGTTGAACCATTACATTTGTATTCTAGTAGCCTAGGCTCCAGCCATTATACAGTGTTGGGGTCTGGTACCGTGAGACTAATATTCTGCTAACTCTAAAAAGGTGAACCTAAGGACACACACACAGCAACTCCAATGGAGTTAGCCAGTGCATCTTGCTACAGTACTGCAGAGACCAGACAGACTGCTGCAGTGATGGGGTAACCGTTAGAGTTTGAATGAGAGACATGTCTGGGAATATGAAAGCAGGCTTATGGTTCACATTCAGTCCCACTGTTGCCTGACAAACAGTCAAACACACTGGCTGACTTTAATGAGGGCCTGGTTCATTCACTCACTCACTCACACACACACACACACACACACATACACCCACACACACATTCACACACACACCATATCCCCTTCAAAATTATGGGATGATTCATCCAGGGGAAGTTTGTTTGACACTGGGACACTGGTTATTGTCAATGAGGCATTGTTTACAATCAATATGAACTACCATCTGTATGACCTCTACGGGACATCTCAATTAAGGTAAACAGACAGAGATCCCACAGGTTCCATCTCAAATGCCACCCTATTCCCTATGTAGTGCACTACTTTTGAACAGGGCTCTGGTCAAAAGTAGTGCACTACATAAGGAATAGGGTGCCATTTGGGAAACAAGCTCAGTGATTTGGAGGTAAATATCCATGAAAAATCTATCAAGCTACCAGAGGGTCTAAAAATACTTTCCCCTCTGAGAATGACATGGTTTGACAATCAAACACACATCATGGCTACTATATTTCACCTTGAAAACACATGTCAGGCTATATTTATGACCATGTCCCATCACATGTCAGGCTATCTATACATTGTGGTGTCTAGTTTCTCATATATTACTTAAGACAGCAAACTTATGAGTGTAGTTTAAAAATAGCCTAGTGTACACACATCCAGAATTGCAGGTGCAGGGTACACAAAGTAAGTAATGAAATAAAGAACAGATACCACAGACTGATAAATGCTCCCGTTGTTTAATTGGCTCAATAAAACAGCTGGGGATCATTCATCAGTGTGTGGGTGTAAATGTTTTATTTCAAACGTATTGTAGTTAGTGTACAAAAAAAAGCAGCCATTTATCAGCATAACAATATATTTCAAAGAAAGACGCATTAAGTTTATCAATACTGCATAAAAAGCTACATTCATAACATCTCAAATTTCTACAACAAGCACCCAATGTGTTCATACAGTGCCTGTATCCAGACACTGTAGTCTTGATCGATGGGACAGACAGACAGACAGACAGACAGACAGACACAGACAGACAGACAGACAGACAGACAGACAGACAGACAGACAGACAGACAGACAGACAGACAGACAGACAGACAGACAGACAGACAGACAGACAGACATATAGATAAGATAGATAAGATAGATAGATAAGATAGATAAGATAGATAGATGAAGATAGATAGATATCCTCAGTCTCCAGTACAGCCCCGTCTGGGTTGAGTTTAGCAGGGAGAAGGACTGAGGCCAGAAAGGGGAGAAAAGGCTTTAGCACTAACAGGGATCCAGGGATCCAGCCAGGGGCCTATGAGAGAGTAATCCATCTCCTTAACACACTCAGGCTCTCCTTCTCCACGATATTATTACCACAACCATACAAATAAGGGAAGTCGGGTTTGGCTTGTTTAGCCTATAGTCTGTTGTCTGAGCAGATACCCCAGACTTTGTATGCAAACAACTCTCCATGAATAAGCCAATTAAACTAGGCTAATAAGAAATGAAATGTGACACGCCAGCCCAACAGGTGCAGATGACGCTAGTTTCTACTTAAAAGGAAGGTCGTTTGAGGGACGTTTTTGTTTTTTTCTTTCAGAAATTCCTTTTTGAACATGTGAACTTTTATGTGCCTTAATTACAAACGTATTTATTATGAGCCTAGTTTAGCCAATGAGAAAGCACTTAGCTATATGTGACCCACCACCTGGATTCGGTCCTATGTAGCAAAATTTGAAATGTTTTTTTACATTGGATAAAAGTAGAGACTCCGAGCTAGAAAATGGTATATCATACACTGCAGTTGAGGAACAATGAGAAAGTAATTCTGCTTTGAAAGTTAATAAACTTGTAACCCCACTTTTGAGAAAATGGCCCATGAATGTTTTGGTACACCTACTGGAGAGCTTTTCTTTGTCTACACCCATTCAGCATTGTTCACACCCTCTTAAGCCTTAGCCCCACCCATCTCTTTAAGGATTCACAGTGCAGTAAACAACCAAAGATTTCAAGAGTAAAAGTGGTGAAAGTGGTAGCAAAAAGTAGTAGTAAAAATAAACTTAATCTAGTCCTTGGCCTATATCCTAATCTGACTTTGGTGCAGGTCATGTTGTTCTTCACATTACCGTCTCTGGTAAACACACACTATATCAAATAAAATCTACGTTTATTTGTCACATGTACAGGATACAGAAGGTGTAAACGGTACAGCTAGCTAAACAATGAACCATAATCCCAACTCTAATGCCGCATTCATAACAACTGAGAACTCATATGGAAAGCTGTGAAAGCCTGTTTACAGATGAAGAGAGAGGTCCCAATGAATGTCCCAAGACTGAGACTGAGTATAACCTATATGCCATGGATTATACAGTATGTTAGCAAATGTTGTATACAAAAATACAGTTAAACATCACACACAATGTATAAACCTTTAATAACTGAAGCAGGCCAACCCTGCTGGAGGTCTGTTGGGTGTGCAGGGTTCTGTTTCAGCCCAGCAATAACACACCTGATTCAACTTATCAAACCTAATGAGTTGATAATCAAGTGTGCTGTTGCTGGGCTGGAACAGAAGTCTGCTCACCCAGTACAGCAAGAATCAGTGGGGCAAGGTTGGCCGCCTCTGGTATGGAGTTTTTTTTTGTTCACCTGAAATTATGCTTTAGTAATAATAACCTACTGGTTACTACTCAATTATCTATTGTTGTTTAGACTAAAATGTCTAACCTTTAGATACGAGTTAGCATATTTGTACATTCTGAAGTGTTGATTATTTGAAGTGAAGTGTTTAAACTTGTTTTAATTGTTAAACTATTATTTAAAATTAACTAGTGTCAATGTTGATTTAATCACATCACAATCCTGCAATAAATAGGGGAAGGGGTGTTTAATCTAACTGCACATCTTTATCAGTACAATCCTGTCCTGCCTTAAGTGGAAGAGTTGAGCTCTTCTCCAACACCATCCATCCATGATGAGCCTGTCCTACACACTGCTACTCCCTTAGGTTTACTGGCCTTGTCCCATTCCCCATAATATTGAAATATAAATGCCTTTTAATAAATGTTTTAGGTTAAAATAATTTGTCTTAGACGATATTTTAAACAAGCTTTGCCGTCTGTGCAGTCCGCGCCTATACTGTGAGTCTCCTATCCTCCTCAATTGTTCAAGTCACCAGCCTCCACTGGCGTTGAACCATTATAATTATATTTTAAAAATCCACCTAGCATTGATTAAGGTTCAAAATGTTATGGCGTCCTAAACTGTGTCTGTGCCCCACCTTGGCCACCCACTGTAAAATGTTCTGGGCAGCCACTGCCTCTACACTGTCCTAGATCAGCTGATAATGTTTGTAAGTGATTGAGCAATAATTTGGAAAGAAATTCGTTTCACTTGATGTACTTCAGAGAGTGCTTAAGTAGATTGCTATTTCTCTGCCGACAAAAATTAAACAGAAAATTGAGCCGATCACGAAGTTAAATAGCTATGTTGTGAATGTAATATGACATTGACGAATTCAGAGATAAACAACGACATTCAGTTATATGTAAACAAACAAGTATGTGTCATTTAGCCTGCCCTACCGCTATCTTTCGTATTCTTATCTGCGCTTTTAGTTTTACGCATGGATTCCTGTGCTACACTGGCAGTTGCAGGCTGTGTTCAGCCCTGTTGCTCGATGCCTTAACTATAAACTTCCCCGCAACGTAGATTGTCAAGTCTCAACTCACCTTGCCTTTAAGATCCAGAATGAATATAGCAGACGCCGACATCCTGATAAACTAATACCGCAAAATATACTGATGTTTGATGTTCAATATCCCTTACAACATTTTATTCAGTGAACCTCCCATCTCTCTCGCTCTGTTGACTAATCCACGCCACCGCTCTTTTCCGCGGATACTATTTCGTCGTCAGACCTATCGAGCAGCTTTCAACCCAACAGAGCATGCAAAACCATCCCACGGTGTGGACAGGCATTCTGTGCGCGAGTCTCTACATCAATGAATGAGTGTATGTACCGCGGTATCGATTCTCTTCTTTCTTCTGAGGTTATGCATAGACTACTATCAGGAGTGTTTGTCTATTGTACTATATAAAACATTGTTATACCTTATTATAGATCGATGCATAACTGTGTTTCAAAATAATTCGATTGCTTTTTCTACAGAAAGAAAAGCAAGTGTGCTACTGAATTTAAAAACGTTTATTTTATCTACAAATGTAACAAAGTGGAGTGCAAGCACACCCAAACAACAAATTATGTTGGAACTCCAAAAAGCAAACTCAAAACAAAACAAATGGATTGATTATTTGATCCACTTTGTATAATCATTTTTAAACATATTTGTATTTCAAGTCCATACAGTCAACCCAATTTTGAAATCCAATGAAAGACACACAGCCACATGTACCCTATTGCAAAGCTAAATTGAGTTGGCTCTGCTCTGAGAGAGATTGCTATTGTCAGTTTTGTATTAATCTATGACTGTTTTTTTCCCTCCAAAGATGATGGAGATAGACATGCATATATTTAATATCGGCATTCTCTCTCTCTCTCTCTCTCTCTCTCTCTCTCTCTCTCTCTCTCCTCTCTCTCTCTCTCTCTCCTCTCTCTCTCTCTCTCTCTCTCTCTCTCTCTCTCTCTCTCTCTCTCTCTCTCTCTCTCTCTCTCTCCTCTCTCTCTCTCTCTTCTCTCCTCTCTTCTCTCCCTCTCTCTCTCTCCCTCTCTGCTCTGGTCCTCTCATCTCCTCTTCTCTCTCTCCCTCCCTCTCACCTCTCCTCTCTGCTTGCATCAGTGTATCCTCTACTGAATTCCATCTCCTCTCTCCTCCCCTCCCATTCACTTCCTCCATGACCATCCATCCTCCTCCTCTGCGATTCCAGCCACTCCTGGGGCACCGTCTCCGTCCCTGTCCCCCATGCTCATGCATGGAGAAGCCTACCTCCAGGCTGTTGGGGTCACACTGTCTGGCTGTGTCCCCCTCGATCAGCCGGGTGTGGCGGTAGCTAGCCAGGTAGCGGCGGACCAGCTGGCATTTGGCCAGGCCAACGATGAGGAGGGAGAGGGAGATGGCCGTCACCAGGACTGCTACCAGGTACTGCCAGCTTTTGGAGAAACGGCTCTGACCACCGTCCTCACCGCCTGTTGGGAGAGGGGAAGTTTTACTGCTCAAATCATTATTATTATGTTCACTTCCAAAACAGCAAAGACCACTTAAGCGTGAAAGCATTAGATGACAACAGATAATTGATACTAAGTACATATCAATTAATTGATATAATGAAGCAGAAGTAAGTTATATAACTTAGATCCATACCATTAGTTGTAGTCATTGTGTTATTTGGAGTTGGGCTGGGATGTTCAGGGTCCACTGTTAACAGTTTCCTATGGAATGGTCTTCTGATTCCTGTCAACGAATCATCAGACTCATGGTCAAGCTCTTGGTTCCCATGGAGATCCAGGAAGGATATAGTTTGAGCAGAAACAGACAGGGGGCCTTGCAGTCTGTTGTGCCCCAGAAACAGCTTCCCTAACCTGGGTAAGCCCTGCAGAGCTCCAGCCTCTATGGAGGTCAGTCGGCAACCACTGAGGTCTAGTATCTGCAGGAAGGGCAGGTTGCACAGGTGGCCTTTCTCCAGCAGAGGGAGGTAGTTTCCTGAGAGATTTAGGTTAACAAGCTGATCCAACCTCTGTAGTTGTCTGAGGTGTTGAGGGTTAGTAAGGTTCAGGTGGTTCTGAGAGAGGTCCAGTGCAGTTGCATTGTTCCATATCTCTGTTGGAATATGGGACAGTTTCCTCCAACTGCAGTTAAATGATGCCTTGTGGAAGAGATGGACAAGATTCGTCAAGCCAACCCTTCCCATTTTGTGGTTGCCATTTTGCAAGAATCAAGAAGAGTTTTGAAAAGAATAAAGCAACTTTATGATTTTACAAAGTTTCTCCCTAAAACCATTGTATGGGTGAATTGAAAGGGAATTATTAAAAGGGTGGTGTTACAATTCATTAGGAAGGTCATTCACCAATTCAGTACCTTTTGAGAAATAAACTTGTAAAAAAAATAAAAAATGATTTCACCTAATTATAAGATTCTGTCATAAAGAGCACATGTTCAATGTCATAAAACCACAAGTGCCTATTAATTGCCAAATAAACAGGATTGAACGTAACAGGGTTGACGATTTCTTCTTCAATCAGCCATAAATCCCCTTGTGAGAGAGGGAATGAAAGCTTGTTGTGTGCAACATCTCTAGCCTATGGGTACCAGTGTTGACGTGTTATGCTCGACCCGCTCCGTTTTCCACCACAAAACACCAGAAAAAAAGAGTAGAACCAGCTCACCTGCTTTTACTCTATGATTTGACTATTATATGTTCAATGTTTCTTTAAAAAAAAATATTAAAAAAGGAATAGTTTCACCATATTAAAACAAAAGTTCAATGCACGTAACAGGGTTGACCATAAAATGAGGGACAGACGTAACTTAATCACATAAAATAAATAATAATCTTCAGAAATGACTTTGTCAAAGCAACAAAAGAACTAGGGCTGTACAATGATAGTGAAACGTGGAGAAATGTTGGGATTAAGTGGTTTAAATCTTCCTAGAGGTAACACAGGGTTGACGGAGGGACGTCAAAATATGATTTATTGAATTGTTCATGTGGTCTATATTAAAGGGCACTTCATTTAATATAACAGGCTTTTAAAATTCTATATTGGGGCACAATGTCTACTTAAAAAATCAAAGGGATGCCGAAGGCACTCATTTTGTGGAATGACCCAGGAGTCTTTACAACTGTCTAGTGCTGATAACTAAATATTTAATGTAATCACTTTAAAACAGAAAGATAAAGAAAACCCATCTAATATTTAACAAATCAATCTGTGAACACCAAATACATTTGCTTAAAGAGGCACAATCTTGACATATAATTCTAATGTTGATGTCCTATAATGAAGTAGACTTGACTCCCAGAGGTAATGTTAGCTTACTGTATGATCAACAACAGGAAAAGTGTAGCACAAACAGGAAATTCTCCATCGTGTCTTCCTCATGTGACTGCTTGGAACTGAACAAAGGGAACAAAAAAGTGGAGGAGGACAAAATGTGTGTCTTTCTTACCGTGCCAGTATTGACAGTACACGGGCCAACAGTGTGACCGTCAAGTGTGTTCCCACTAACTGTTCCCCAGAAACACAAAACCACACACAGACCGGGGCCCCAGGACCCCATGGTTCCACCACTTCCTGTAGGAATGACAGATGGAGAAACACAATACATATTAATCAGACTGAGAAGTGAGTCATATCTAGAATTGGCTGCATTTGTGCAGCCACTATGACCTGGCTTATTGGGCATGTAGGGCCTATGACCTGACTGAAATGTACCCTGTGTGAGCATATGTGACCTGACCAGGAAAAACTACTGGCCCTAAAACACACCAGAATTGTTTTGAAAAACATAAACCGCTTTTGACATCATAACTGAAACCAGTGACCTCTGTGCTCTTATGTAAGTGAATATGCTAAATGTACATTTATTTGCATGCAATGTTGATTCATGCTGTCATAAATGACTCATTGCACTCTGAAGATGTCTATTGGCATGTTCTCACAAAGACAACAGTCTGTCCATACCAGTTTAGTGTTCCCACCAGTTTAGTGTTGTACATTTTCTATGAAGATGTGTGTACACACTTTCTATGCACTCTAAAGTTGATTTAAAGCTTTTAGTTATAGAATGAAGAGCTTTTCACACACTATCAATAGCTTTTGTTCTGCAGAGTGCTCTTATGGTGTTCTTCTTAGAACCATTTGTATCTTTCTCTCTCTTCATTTTTTCACCCTGCCTTTTCTGTTTGCAGAGTCCTCTTGGCACCAAGGTGATTTTTCACAGAGGAGCCCGGCTGGCTGGTCGGTCTGCCATTAGGCTTCTTCCCCTCTCCTTCTCCTGCTATTCAGCTCAGCATTGTTGGCTGTAAACACCCGAGTGGGGCTCTCTTTATCTCTTCCTGTCCTCACACAGCCAAGGCACAAAAACAACACGCCAGGCCTGGGAGCTATGGGATTCCCAGGAACACACAAGGGGCCGTGTGTGTAGTAGTAGGGTGTGTGTGCGTACATCTTGCGTGTGTGCATGCTTGTCTGTGTGTGTGCATCTGCATTAGTGTTTGTGACTGCATGAGTGTGCGTGTGTGCACTGTATGTTTAAGGGTAGGTTTTGAAAGGAGTGCCAAGTGCCTCTTTGACCACCACGCTACCACACCTCCCTCTCTCCCACACTCCCATCCCTCCCATCCCTGCAGCCCAGTGCCACCTCTTGCTGTTCTGTAATGTGTTGCCTAGGTCCTGTCCTTCTCCTCCCTCTCCTATCTCTCCTCTCTGGGTACAGAAGTCACACACAAAACCGTCCTGCATCTGACCTCCTGGTGAAACGCATGGCTACTCTGTGGTGCCAGTGAGCAAGCCATCATTACGCCTTCTTCCACCTCCTCAGTCCCCATCCATGGTGCCAGATATATATTTTTGTTATTCGTTTCAGAGCATATTTTGCATGGGAGCTAAGCGATGCCATTGTTTGTCAAGAATAAAGGATATGGTTTGATCATACAGTGATTGGAAAAACAGCTGGCAAAGAGAGAGGGAGGTTGTTAATGAGGAATATGTTTTAGGCATGAAATGGGTACAGGGAGCCTGCTACGCAGGTTAGGGTGGTATTCTAAAAATAAATGAGTTTCACATTTCACAACTCTGTTAATTCTACTGTAAGTCCTAAACAAAGAAAGTGGCAATAGGTGCAATCCTTTCTAACATTTGCTTAAAGGCATACACACTCTGCAATGTCAACAATAGAGCCAAGCAACTTCTGCAAACAAAAACACCATGAAACGGATATATTTAGCTTTAGAGGTTAGTCAGATAGCAGAGTAATACATTTGACAGACCAATACCTCTTACCAGTGTTGTGTTCGAGACCAACTAAAGCGAGACTGATTGAAGACCAAGACCGGAGCAAACCGATTCCGAATCAAGTCCAAGAACGGAGGGAGGGGGGGGGTGGACCAAGTCAAGACCGAGACCAGAAAAATGCGAGTCCAATTCAAGACCATAATTGTAAGTTTGTCAAATCACCACCATAATAAGAGTTCAAAATGTCCAGTATTTCTGTGTTCATATTTCAGAACAACATGGATTCTTTAGACATTCAGAATAGTGAAAAAATGCATGCTGAGGGAAAATAGAGCCACTCTACAAATTATTGCTAACCCAAACACAGTGGGGAACAATGGGCCTTCTACGCCTTCAGAGAAGGGCTAAGGATTTATAAAAGAATGATTTTAATAATATAACTATAATGATAACTATATTATTATGTTCAATGATGTTCTGATTTAATCGCTTCAGTTTTTGTTGGAAAGGAAAGATCCAATCAGGATTTTTCTTTGCTGGTCTCTGGGGAGATAAATCTAGCTAGCTAAGTCAGCCATTTTCTAGGCCATCAGAACCTAGATAAAGGCATCTGCTATTCAACTGTATTAGGGCAAAATTCTGGAGTGACAGTGGAATCAACCAATCACATTTTGACTTAATCGGTGGGACCGTTTTTACAAAAACATATGGAAACATCTGCCTTCTTGAAGACCAACAGGTCACTGCGCAATAGCGAGCAGTAGTTTTCCCACGGTCTAGCTAGCTAGCTTTTGTTGTTGGCTAGTTTGCAGCAGCTGCGGCAGGTGTTATCAAAGAGGTTGTTGTTGCTAATTTGTTAGCTTCTCCCTTTTCAAGAATAACTTTCAACAAGAAGTTAAGTTTCAAATGATCATCATCTGGTGAGTGGAACTGTGTTTTTTGTTGCAGCGCGCTTGCTGTTGTTAGCCATCTCTTTGAAAATAACTTACGTGTGTGAAACATTTTTGCATTTAAAATGGAACTGACAGCATTTTAGCAACATGACATTTTATTAAAATCTGTTCATACACACACCCAGGAAGAATTACACTTTTTAAAAACATTTTCTGACAAGCGACCACTTAGATATGGTCATTTTCTCATTTTCATAAACTCTTAGAATGATTTGGAGTTACATATACTAAGGCATTTGTGAAAATTCTATAGCAATATAGTGGGAAAGTGGCCGTGCGTTTGGACAATTAATAGACACTGCAGTAAATAAAATGGAATAAAAACATCTGTCTTGTCCAGGACCGGAGTCTACACAGACCGGTGCGCTATAGCCAATCAGAGCTACAGTTGGCCTTTATACAAACAAGCCATTTGCCACACGGCCCTGCCATCATTCACTTTGAACTGGACTGTGTGTTTACAGGCAGTTGCAACAGTGCGACTTTAGATCATCAGAACGCATTCGCCAAAAGCCACAAAATACACCTGAATGGATTTTTGCAAATATGTAAACACTACGGGAGTCCTCTTACATTTGGGAACTTTACAGTCCTATTGATCAAACAACCATGAAAAGGTAGGCTTTCTCTCCCTCAGTTATGCACATCACATCAACAACAACAAGATCAACAACTAATGCTAGTCAGAGCAAGATTAGCTAAAATCTAACAAAGGAAGATTAGATAAACCCTCTCAAATGTTTTCAGCTAGTTGGCCGTCAAAATTACACTGATAAACGATGGGGAATTGTAGCCTCCTTGTCCTTGTGCAGCTTGCCTGCCAATGCATGCTTGTCCCAACCAAGCACCCAAGCTAACTGGCTAAAGTTGGCTAGCTTGCTAGCTAGCTACTTCCTGACACAAATGAGAGAACACCTCACTCTGACCATTTTACTCGCCGTAGCAGAGCTTGTTAGGCTGTTTACATGTTATCTAATGCGTTCTTGACTAACTATTACTTGTTTTGCCTACATTTACTGACACCAGTCATATTCAGCAGGAAATCGGAGTAGATAGCCAGAGTGAATTTGCGAACGCAAGAGATATGCTAACTGGATAACAGTCATTCAAGTTCTTGCTAGCTAACCAAATGACACCTGCATCTCTAGCTGTGTATAGCCACTGAAAAACGATATGAAGGGAAAAAGTCAGTCATTCACCCACTCCTCCAATGTCATCCATTAGCTATCTAGCTAATGTTAGGCTCTGTGTTTTTAGCTTGCTACATAAATAGATACGCTAGCCTATTAGCCACGTTATGACTGACTTGTGATCATTGCCCTTGCTAGTTTGATTGTATTGACATTCCCAGCATTAGTTAGATTTGTCCTTTTTTTTCAGAATATTGAGTAATTGAAACTGAAACAGTGCATCCCGAATGGAGGCAGCAAACAATGTACCAGGCCAGCTGTGATTTACAACCTGATAGCAATCTTTTGGACTACCAAGAAATGTATTGGTGAATTATATTAATCATGCATTGAACTGCATGCATCTATTCTGCCAACAATGCCTTAGTGTACGTCAAGGAACGTTGAGTCAAAAATTACCTATTTTTAAACCTCCTATGAAGTTGGTTTTGAAGCATAAACTGGGAATTTGATAAATTTGACTGCTATTATTATTGTCTGTTTGTTTCATATGTGCAAAGTAGTTAAAACGCTGTCAGTTCCTCGTTAAACTTTAGGTCACCGGTTACTTTTTGTGCTAAACATGAAATGTTTTTTGCAATGGGAAGTAATAGTTGTACATTTCGATTGGGAAATGCTTAATGGTTGTGTTGTTGTATTCTTATGATTGGGACCTACTGGCTTATTATGTCTGAGTTTATAGACTGCTTATCCTTTAACATCATGCTGTGTGTGACTGCTGTCTTTCCATCGGCCCTATGCAGTGGTGCCTGGAGAAGTGTGTATACTCAAATTTTGCCAAAAAGTTCCCAAACGGTCCGCCCAGCGAAAGAAAGGCACCCTGTGTGAAAAATCATGGTTTCCTCAGATTTTCACTCTCAAAATATGTTTTTTAAAATAGAAAAAATACAAATATTTGATGGTCTAAATCCACAACAATGCTTAAACCACATAAATCTGATTGGGTGGGCCTGTCAGGGCCCTCCAGTGGGTGGGCCTCTGTCCACCCAGGCCCATCCATGTCTATGCCCCTGATGCAAACAGCACATAATGACAATTGCGCATCACAAATAGCCTACTAATCAACACATCGGACTAAACTTTTTCAATACCTGGTTTGCATACCCATTGTTGCCTTAGTTAGCATTTACTGGTAGTTATCATAAGTGGAAACGTATTTCCTACCCTAGCAGCTACCGATGTCAGTCTTCTGTGAGCTGCTCCATGCCAAAACAGTTGAGAGCTTTCTTTTACTCATGCTGCCTGCAGATGATATTCTGTTGAAACTAGGCTATGTGTGCGACGCGCATGTGAATATATATATACCTCCACTACACTACTTTGAAACGCATCAGTAGGGATTAGGAAGTGTGTATACCCAATGCCGACTGAAAAAAAAGTGGGTATACTGTTTATACCTGCGTATACCCTCCACTACACCACTGGCCCTTTGTGTTTTACGAAAAGTGCACTCTCCTACATGAGTGCGCTGGTATTACGGTTGCTGTCCTTTCAGAATCACGAACCTGTCACACACTGAAGGCGAATAGGTTCGCCACTGCGCAAACATGTCTATAATAGATATAAAGGCTGATAAGATATTCATGTTTCAAGAAAGGTGTGTATATATTTGGCCTGGCGAAGCGGTTTTATGCGCTGACTGAATGGAAGCTGATAATTATGAGTTTTTTACTCCGCTGGTTTCGGCTGGTCTCGGGAAGAAATTACGAATCCTCACTGTCCGAGACCGAGTCAAGACCGAGTACACCGAGACAAGACCGAGACACCTGTCTCGAGTACCGGTCTCGAGTACTACAACACTGCCTTTTACCTTTAGCGCCCTACCTCTCCTTTGTAATGTAACTGGACCTCACCACAACATCCTCCCTGAATGAACAATGGTTTACATTATTATCAACACCCTGGCTGAAAAGTCAGCTGCTGTCAAAGGTTTAGCCTTATTTTGTGTGGGCATGAATGACTGGCAGAGCATTGGCTTGCAATAAGATATCCTGCTCAGAAATGGACCCATGCATCTATGTATTTATTTCTCTCTCTCATTAATCTACTTTCATTTTATTATATCTCGCCATAGCTGTCAAAATATAATTAGTGATATACAGTATAGTAGTTGAGATTGTTCAAAGGGTTATTTCCTTTGGTTATTATACTAGTAAGTTGTCATAGTAATATATACCAAGATACTGTAATTAGTGTAAGCACTAAATTAGCAACAGGTGAACCAGGGAAGTCATATGATCTCAGTGTTGACAAATGTAAACAAGGTAACACAGCCCAAAAGGTTAACATTTAGAGAAAGTCCACTCATTAGAAGTGTCCTACCTGGTCAGCCTGGTCTGTATGTACCTGAAACCCAGGTCCCGATATGACCCTCTTCCTTATAGCTCACATTGAAGCAGCATTGTCACTGAACGTTTGTTTTCGCCTTTGCTATGAAATGGAGGTATGTTGTGCAAAGGTTGGAAGGGGTGCGTTCGCCTCAATCATGTTGTGAAGGACAAGTTAATGAGTAACTTTGTAACTACATAGGTGCGCTCGCCTCTTCCTCCTACTTTCACTAGCTTTTACCCAATGGTACTACACCAGACCTGGCTTCAGTCAATATTGCCATGCAGTAAAAATCATGTTGTGAAGGACAAGTTAATGAGTAACTTTGTAACTACACTTTGTAACTACATAGGTGCGCTCGCCTCTTCCTCCTACTTTCACTAGCTTTTACCCAATGGTACTACACCAGACCTGGCTTCAGTCAATATTGCCATGCAGTAAAGAAAGAAGGTGGTTGCTAAGAAATTACATGCTTTGTCCTGCATGTCCTACTGTTTACACACAATAGTAGTCTGTACTACAGATAACACTTTCCAGTTATCTGAGTTCACAGTTGAGAACCCATTAAACGTCAATACACATTCATATTTACACATTACATAGGCCTACTTATCCAAACACAGTCTATCCACAGTCCGGGTATTATATAGCACAGACAATACTGTACATTTAAACCTAGTTAAATGTAACTAAATGCAATCGAAAATGTAATCTACCTAATCCCCAAAAGTAATGATTTATCACGAGAGGGCCATAAACAATAACTAGTAATGCTGCATACTCCAAGAAAGGTTAAAATCTGGTAAAAATAGTTATAAATTGCTGAGGTGTAGTCACTTTGAGGACACAAGCTCAAGTACACAGTACAAATATGATAAAAATATGAAAATATGAAATATTTTATATGATGTATTTCCTATTCAACAAAACTGTATGAATAAGGCTTGAAATGGGAGGACGGAACACCCTGGACACAGGTGGGGAAGATTTGGTCTTGGGAGGAGATATTTGCGGGAAAAGGACCCTGGGCGAAGAAGGAAGCCCAGGCAGGAGAGGAGCAACGGCAACACAGAAGCCGGCCAAGGAAGAAGCCAGAGAAGCAGCCCCATTAAAATGTTTTTGGGGGGCTAAAGGGGTGGTCGGGGACCGAGAGAGAAGAGCCCCGACCACTGCACCCGGTGGGTTTCCAGACTGAGTCCCTACGACCATGGGAAGAAGAGTGGGAAGAGTATTATACTGAGGAGTCGGAGGATGACGACGACGATGAGTTTCTGTTCCCTAACTCGTGGGGGCTCCCGGAGGAGTCCTCACTGGAGGAGGAGTGCCGAGAAAGAGAGAAGGATCGGATCTGCAGGGTAAGAGAGGAGGCCACCATATTACGGGGGCTGATAGATAGAATAGAGCGGGAGAGATCCATTCAAGAGGAGGCACTGCAGGAGGCTCGTAGGGAAAAGGAGGAAGTAGAGGCACGGAGAGAGGAGCTGGTTAGGCAGTAGAAGGAGCGGGGGTTAATAAAGGAACCCAGGTATGCGGAGATACGCACTGTGTCACCAGTGCACCTTCCCAGTCCGGCCCATTCCTGCTCCTCGCACCAAGCCAGTGGTGCGTGTCGCCAGTCTGGCCCGGCCTGTTCCTGCTCCTCGCACCAGGCCAGTGGTGCGTGTCGCCAGTCCGGCCCGGCCCGTTCCTGCTCCTCGCACCAAGACAGTGGTGCGTGTTCCCAGTCCGGTCCGGCCTGTTCCTGCTCCTCGCACCAAGCCATTGGTGCGTATCGCCAGTCCGGCCCGGCCCGTTCCTGCTCCTCGCACCAAGCCAGTGGTGCGTGTCGCCAGTCCGTCCCGGCCCGTTCCTGCTCCTCGCATCAAGCCAGTGGTGCATGTTCCCAGTCCGGCCCGGCCCTTCCTGCTCCCCGCACCAAGCCAGTGGTGCGTGTTCCCAGTCCAGCCCATTCCTGCTCCTCGCACCAGGCCAGTGGTGCGTGTTCCCAGTACGGCCCGGCCCGTTCCTGCTCCTCGCACCAAGCCAGTGGTGCGTGTTCCCAGTCCGGCCCGGCCAGTTCCTGCTCCTCGCACCAAGCCAGTGGTGCGTGTTCCCAGTCCGGCCCGGCCAGTTCCTGCTCCTCGCACCAAGCCAGTGGTGCGTGTCGCCAGTCTGGCCCGGCCTGTTACTGCTCCTCGCACCAAGCCAGTGGTGCGTGTCGCCAGTCCGGCCCGGCCCGTTCCTGCTCCTTGCACCAAGCCAGTGGTGCGTGTTCCTAGTCCGGTCCGGCCCGTGCCTGCGCCTCGCACCAGACCAGTGGTGCGTGTGTCCATTCCGGCATGGCCAGTGCCCGTCAGCTGCTCCACTCCGGAGCCAGAGCAGTCCACTCCACCGGTGCCTGATCCAGCTCCAGTCAGCTCCAGTCAACAGGTACTGTCATGCCCTGACTCAGGGGACTCTTAAATGTTGAGTCAGGGTGTGAATATTCTATGTTAGTAGTTCTATGTTTTCATTCTAGGATTGTATGTCTATGTTTGGCCGTTGTCTCTGATTGGGGATCATACTTAGGCAGCCTGTTGGCATGCATTAGTTGTGGGATCTTGTTCCGTGTTAGAGGCTTGTTTTGTGTTTAGCCTTAGGACTTCACATTTCGTTGGTTTGTTGTGTGTTTATCATTTTAATAAACATGTACGCATTTCACACTGCGCCTTGGTCTGACCCGTCCTTCAACGAACGTGACATGAGTGCTGCACACTTAAGCAGACCAGGATCCATTTGGTCGGCCCCTGTAGATTTCTTGTTGTCTATTGCTAGCAAAGCACCCAGGACTTATTTTTCTGCAAATAGCCTAAAAGAAAAGCTATAATTTCTCTGATCATTCAGCAAGTTTCCCCTATCAGCATCCAGCCCAATATAATTGTGAATAGGTTTAGAAGTTATTTAAAAGAGATAGCCCGCTGAAATAAAATGGTGATTAAATGCATCAATGATGTAACTTTTTCCGTAATGAGGCCAGTGTCTGAATTAATTTGTTTTGGCAGAGAGGAGGAAGTAGAACCCTTCAGGGATTTTCCAGTTTTTCAGAATTTAGCCAGGTTGCCATTATAATCCAAAAGAGCAGTTACATAATAATCAGATTTACTCTTTTGAATGACTTCTGATCATTCTGGAGTGTACCAGGCATTCAATCTACCTTTAACTCTTAATTTTTTGAAGGGAGCATGATTATCCACAATAATATTGAAGACATCTGCAAAATAGTTCCTCTTTGTGATGACATGAGGCTTGGATCTCTAACACAAACAATTAGGGATCAATGAAAGAAAGCCATCTAAATATATACATATTCATCTCCATTTCAGCACCAATTGATAGATTTAAAAGTACTCTGATCTTGTAGATTATTTAGGTTTAGGAAAGTATTTATGAATCATAAAATAGCGGGTGAATAGCATGCTATTGTCATGCTTAAGTTCAAGGTCAGAATACGCATAGAGAGAAAAGTGCATAAAAAGGGAATTATGTTCCTAGCCGCCAAACAAAAGAAACTGAATGAAACAGGGAGGGACTACCTGAACTTTTCTAATAAGAAACATTTGTTTTTGTCTTCCATTGCAAAAGGTTTTGCTACGGTGTGCCCTAATTAATATGACCCTGAAAACTGGCCACTCAGCAGTGAAGCAGTCGTGGGGTTTCCAACTCTTATCTCCAGGGGTTGAGTGCTGTTTGTTCCAGTGATGTGGCAGTTGCCTCTTTAAATCAGGGGAAATAACAACACATGTGTACAGTACATTACAACGGTGTCTAGCTGTTTCTATTTTGCACTTAAAATGTCATTAAGAGATTAGATTAGACCTGCAGATTAGATTAAATACCAGAGCAATGACTGACTGTCCACTGCCTGTGCATCAACATGCATCACTATCAATACAACACACTGTTCTTAGATCCCTCATCTCTAGCTTTTGGGAACAACATAGTCCCTTCTCCCTGGGCGGAGGGCTGAGCAAGCACCCAGAAGACAGACAGGAGACCCACAGGCTTTCCTGTCTCTGCCCCTGCCCCTGCCTGACTGGGCTGCCCACTGGGTGATTCCTGCCCTGCGCTCCAGCCACTTCCTGAACACATATCAGAACCTGCAGCACTACTTCCTGTGCTGAAGAGCCTTCCACTGGCTAGAGCGTGAACTGACTAACAGAGCTCATGGTTTTGTCTCTTTCACTGTCATTCTTTAGCTCTTTGTCACTCTCACTTGCTCGTTGCTAATTTCTTCTCACTCTTTTTTTCCTTAGTCAAACTTTTCTCTCCCGTTTTTATCTTCTCCTTCGCTTTGTTTTGTGTCCTCGGAACACATATTCTGTTTCTTTTTCTCTTGTTTTATATTCCTACTGCTATATTTACTACTCCCATCTCTATGTATTTTGCTTTCTCCTACCGTTTTCACTGTCTTTCTCTCTCCCTTTCTCTCCCCCCTCATTTTGGCTGGATAAAGTATCACACCACTCCCCTTCCTTGTTAATAATAATATTCCGATGGGAAAGCTATTCTATTCCTGTAGGCCTAATTACAATTTCAGCCTAGCAGGCCTAATGTTAATGGAAAAGGCACCTGGTCTTACTATGGCTGCTAACATGAGGAAAAAATGAGAAAGCTCGATTTTTGGTAGAACTAAAAAAGGCTGATTTGCTCTTCATGTACTTCATGCTCTTATTCTCCAACTCAAACCATATAGCTTATTGTAGTCTCTTAAATTGGCTACTCATAGTAATACATGTTGTTATGATTAGCACTTCCTTAGTTTTATCTGCTGGTTTTCCATAAACACATCAGTGGAGTTATGGGTGGTGTGTGTGTCCGCAAGTTTGTGTGTGTTCGTTAAAGTACATGCTTATGAGCGTGTATATGCAGACAGTGTATGGTCATTGTAGATTCAAGTGTGTACAGTAAGAACAAACTCTGTGCCCTGCTCTGTTTGGTGCTCTGTTGCCCCGGCGCTATGGGCTAACCCTGTTCCAGAAGTGGACCCATGGCACCCAATCCTCCTCCTTCCCCATCCTCACTCTCACCCTAACCCCATCCTCCCCCCTGCCCCACCCTCACCCCGGGGCAGCAGCTGGGGGGCTCTCTGGGCCTAATGAGTACCATGTTGTCTTTCCAGAACAGGACAAACTAAGGGAGGGAGGGTACGCCTG